AGCGTAGAGGATAGGAAGAGATAACCCGTACGAAAACTCCTCGACTCCCATCGCGGGCGCAGGGCGTGGGTGCGAACATTTTATAGTCTTTATAAGGTTCGCCGGGTCACCAGCCATCGCTCGTCTCGAGCCGGGCATATTTTTATGAAGGCGACGTGTTCGCCGTATCAGCGACTGGGCGGTTTCCTAATGTACCTATATTACTTATTCTGAAAACCCTTTATGAACCGCGAAGACAAAACCTTTGCGGTAAATTTATTGGTAGAAAACAGAATGAATTGAAGGGAGAAGTAGAGGAGGATTTGATGTTTAGAAAATTAATTAAGGCATAGAAAGAGCAACATAAAGGTCTTTTGTGGATATCGAAACGTCTACTTACGATTTGCCTACTTAAATGCGGAATAAAAACCTGCAGTTGGAATTTCTAAAGCGATTTGTCGGTTTCATTCATGAAACCGCCAATTCATTCGGGCGCTATTTTTAGTGCGTTTCGCTGCACTAGTTTCGTGCGCGATGTATTTTCGCTAATATTTTCGAAACGTTTCCGATCAAATATTTTCGTTCGCCTTGTTTTCGTGGAAACTCGAAAGTTTCGATATCTCTTATTGGCCGAGTAAACAAAATATAGCGATTTTTATTGCCTAAACAAATGTTCGTACCTACCTCTCGATAAATTCTTTATGTTCAGTGTTTCGATCTAATGGAAATCGACAGTCAATAAATTTCACTGGGAGTTTCAGCGAAACGCTGATTTTATAAACACTCGCTGGAATTGTGCGTTTTTGTTGGGAAAATTGGCAGGAAATTGCTATTTTTGATTCGATCGAACAAAGCAATTTTTTCGAAACGAGCCAATGAAATAATGAGTAAAATGTTCGCCGGCAAATCAACATTAATGTTTATAGTGGATAAATAGAGTGCCCCTTTTTGGTAAATCTCCAACAGAGAGTTAATCTAAATAATAGGCGCCCGCGACTATGCCTATACCCATTTTCAAAATATAATTTACATAATTCGCTTGGTTACTCGGTTATTATAACTTGATTTATAACAAATGAAGTGTGACTAAATAAGCCGGCGTTATCTTGCCCAAGATGGAATATTGTTGGTATTTTCTAATGAAATATATATCATTAATATCTCAAATGCGTCGAATGTTCTAACGGTACCTAGACGATTGTGTAAGTAGTTACATTCAATATCTTATCAGGCGAAAAATAACATACCGATATTACAAAATAGTACAATTATATCAATATTCAATATAAATTGCCACACATTATACATGATTTTATTTATAATAGGTAAATTTATACTATTCTTTTTGAGTTTCATAACGAGCTTTCTTAAATAAATTATCTTACAACTCATTCTTAGTTTTAACAATTATTTATATTAGAGTGTTTATCAATCTAATCACTCTTGAATGAGTACCAGTACTTTAAGAAATGATTCGTGGTGAAGCGACGCCCACCCGATTTAAATTCTACCGTTCTCGAACCATAAAAGTTGAATTTGAATTTTTATAATGGCCCATAAAACCATACCTTCTATTACCATTATAAGCAATAAAAATAAAATATAAGTAAGTATATCTAATACGATAATCAATGAGATAAAAATATAAAATTGAGCATTGGCGTTATTTTCATCGAAATTGATTATTTATTAGGGTGTTTAATAATATTATAAATTTCCTTCTATTTACGGCGATTTAAAGTTAACTAGTATAGTATGCGCAATCAACGTCAGTAATTTGTTATAATAAACTATGCCTATAATAGTGATGTAAAAATTTTTTATTTTATGATGTTTTCGCAAAATTTATTATAAGTGCTATCGATAAATAATTTAATTTATAATGTATAAATAATTTTTGAGTAATTAATTCACTAACAATTTCCTCAAAAATTGCTTTCCTAAAATCTAATTCTCTAACCGTTATTTTTTCTTTAGCAGTTTCCTCCACGAAGCAGTTAATTTTCCAATAAACATTGATATTTGTATTACAGTAATTGATTCTTCTGTTGTTGATTCACGTGCTACACAAGGCGACGAAAACAACACGAAATTCAATCCCGATGAATTCTACACCGACGGAGATGCGGTGGCTTTATTCCCGCATTCGCGCATCCTTTTATTTTTCCTTCTACACATTTATTTTCGATCCTTGTTTCCTGCATTTTCGGCGGATTTAATTAGAGGCCGCCGGGCTGTTCAACGTGTTTTTATTTATTTCGTCTAGTCCGTTTAATGATATGCAAATGCCTGTATGAATATGCGAGTTACGTGGGAGCGAATTTATGGTAGAAATTTTAAAAAAGGCCGAAACGAAGTGGCAGTGTGTCCGTTTCGAATAAAACGTCAGGTTAATTTTCCGTTTTTTTTTCCTTCGTTTCGAGAGTGGAAAGGCTTAGTTACGGGCCGTTAAGCGATATTTATTTTTGACTGTCGCCGAGCAATTTGCATTCGGCTTTGTTTCGAATCCATCGGTCGATGCTTTAATGTGAAAGTTCAATTGCGACCTGATCAAGTTTTCATCGCGTACGTGTTAATTATTTGCTAATCAATGCGCGTGGAATTGTGATGAGATTTTAATTCTATTACCTATAGCAAAAGCAAACAAAAATAAGTACGTTTGTACCTAAAACACAATATATCCTTGTCTCGTTTATATCTCGTCAATTTTAAGATTACATTATCTTTACAAATCCATCAATTAAAACCATCAGGTACTTACGTTACAATATAACAAAATAAATCCACCCTAAAATTATAATTACAATCACCTCCAACCCTACTTTGGGCATAACTTTATTAATCCAGGTCAGCGTTGACCTAATATTTGCGCGCCCTCTTGCGACCTTTGGGGACGATTCGCAACGTAAAGCATCATTAATATTATATCGAATAACCGTACCCTTTGCCCAGTCCCCGAATCCCTTAAGCTCTTAACCCTTCGGGTTATGTGCATCGCATCTGCCCCATCGATAATGCGACTCGCGAATCCTTTTCTTCCTTTTTTTTTCCGCTATCATTTTTCGCAAGCACTACACGAGGACGAAAGTGCCCCTTCGGACGACGTAAATATTAGCCCCATAATAATAATTCTTTCATAGTTTGTTGGTTTGCCGGCAGGACCGTTCCCCTAGGATTTATTGCGCTGGATCCTTCGATTACTTAGGTGTAGCTAGGGTTTAGGGTTGTTTTTTTTAAGAGGAAAAGTGTATAGTAGTAAGGGAAGATAAATAACGGGGGGTTGCTGAACAATACCAATTTGAGGCTGTATATAGTAGCTAAATAATTAATATTTGCTGTAAATGATTGTAGTTTGCTGGAGAGTTATATGGAAGGATTTGAGTAAGGTTTGAAAAGTTGCGAAGCCGGTCCTGCATTGGCGGTCTGAATTTTTCGGATCACGTGATACTATATGGCCCGCTCGGTAACCACCAAGACGGGCTTCGTAGCTTTTTATTTACAGAGAGAGACCCATATTTTTCTGGCTTTGCGACAGGAAAAAAGTTTATTGAAACGGAGGACCCACTGACGCGAATAAAAAAGCCAGCTTTTGAAAACCCAAATACGTTTTTATCGCGCCGGCCCGCAGAAGGATTCGTATACGGAACAACAGGACTTTTACATAACGATTTCTCGGGGTTTGTTCGAGCGAAGGATTCGATTTTGGTTGGAGATAACGCGGGGAGGAAACGGGCTCGGATTCCGAAGAATTTCTTGCGTGCCATGGAATGACCGCAGGTAGACAAAACGGCTCGGAATTAGGTAAGTTTCGCAGCTCTTTTCGACAATTCTTAACTCGATTTTAGCCCATCATAATTAAGCTCACTCAATAATTACAATAACTCCGTTTTCTTATACATATAAAGCACAAATCCAGTTGAATCATGATGAAACATGCTGTACATTTCCATTTTTAATTAACCCGCCTGGCCAGGTCCAACTTCGTATCGCTCCCAGTAATCTATTTGTACATATTTACATCGTTTACGGTTACTTTATTTCAAACGCGCCGGCCGATTTCTGAAAGAACCGTCAAATCACAATGGACTTTTCACATAGCACAATCCCACGACGGGCGCTAATACCATTCAGTACCTGAGTACTAGCTTAATACGGCACAAGTTCGTACCTGCGCCGTTCTTTGAATCCCAAAAGTGATTCATGAGTGGAGGAATGCCTGTACCGAAACCATGAAAGAATTTCTCTATATACTGACACAACATAGTAGTTAGAATCAGAATACTATTCGGAAATTTTAGAATGGGAATCAGACTCCTGGGATTGCTATCTGGGAATCCTTGATTCCCGTTCGTATACGTTGGACTCGAGATATTTTATATGAATTAATGTAAATTTCCGGTGCGTAGGAGCGCCAGTTTTTTCGTCTGGTGAGCACAATAATGCATAATGGCGTCTGAGCCTCAAAGAACACCGAACTCAGCGCAACTCATCTCTCGGCATCGGCCGAACAAGACGGTAATTTACCATTGAATTTCAAACGTTGTTATTTAAGAATATATACTGCTCCACAAAAGTTAGGGAAGTTCACAAATATTGAGACTAATTTAAAAGTTGCAGGTTTTTTGATCGCCAAATTTAGTATGAGTTGTAGAGGTATGGGCAAAAAATCCACTCAGATATGAGAAAAAACATTTAATTTCGCATATTTGAAAATTTGGTGATCAAAAGGTCTGTAAATTTTTAAATAATTGCAACATTTGCGAACTTCCTTAACTTTTGTGGAGCAGTTTATTTTACATTCACGTGGCTGCATTATTAATAACAATAATGATATCGTTTATTTTATTGCGAGCGTTCTTTATTAAAAAAAAACTAAATGGTATATTTAAGCGCACGGTCGACAAATGATGCCTTTAATCACTCTATTGTAATGTCGATTCAATTCCTTAGCGTCTATTCCGTTTGTTTAAGTTGATAATAGGTTTAAATAACTGTTAATTTGGGAAACTGATGTGGTAATTTAAAAATTGCTCACCCTGTATTTGAAGGTAGGTTCTATTTCTATATAACATTTTGTACATTTAAAACAGTAGTTGAGTGCGCTTTTGTAACGGGAATGCAGTGAGAAAACTCCGATTTTATTGTCTTTTTCTGCGTTATTGTTGCCTTTAGACCCCCCGAAAAATTTCCTAATATCTACCTGTAGGTGTGTCAAAAATATGATTTAGAACACACCGACCGACAAAGCCAAGAAGATATTCGCTTAAGAAGCAAGGTTGTCGCATAGTACTTATACCTGGGTAGCAACACGGGATATATATTGAAAATTAGAGAATTTTTGGTTGCAAGTAAATTCAGAGGAATATAAAAAAATGCAGCATATTTTCTGAAATGATTTTAATTCTTAGCAAATCGAATCAATGTTTTCGTTTAATAGATAGTCAATATTATGAAAACAATTTATTTACGAGCACTTTATTTATTAATTAAAAGGCATGAACAATAAAGGTTCAAACGCATGCATAGCAACTCGAAATAATTAAAAGTGACAGATAAGCGAATACCTTACTCGAGATTATTTTATTATAAAAGCTTTTACTCGAAACTAAAAATAATAACAAATTAGATATAACACAAATTAAAAAAATTGTCACAAATCACAATCGCTTGGTGATGACAGGAAATTAGAAAAAAATATTACAGTAGGTAAATTTGTTAATAAAATGACATTTCAATGACATTTCAATCTGTCACAATAGACTATCTGTCAATAGAAGGTGGAGTAATTTTTTTGAGAAATAAAATCCGTATGTTTTACTATAATTTGTTAATTAATAAATTACCTTTAACAGAAGCATCGGCGGCAATCGAAATATTTTTCAAACTGAAAAACTGTCCAACGTGATCGCAACTGCCGTCGCTGGCCGCTCTCTTCGCCCTCGAATTATCCACATTTTTCGCAATCACAACACTAACCAAACACAACGCAAACAAGCCGGAAAACCGCGCCGAATTGGCCATCTCGCCGGAGAGAAAGAAAAGTCCCTCTTCCCGGGCCGCTCCGGCGGATGAAAACTCGAATGGCAGTCGCAAAACAACGAGAACGGCCGGCGAGCCGCGTAAAAAAAATAGAGCGTGAGCGCGCGCGCACACTTCCTTCCCTATCGACTGGTTTCGACCGACTGATCTTCGGAACTTCGGAGTCGGCCGTCGGACCCGGCGAAAACTGGAAACTCCGCTCAGAAATCGCCGAATCGCAAGCACCGAGCGGATTTCTCCGGCGGATCGCTCGCTGGAGGCGGCGTTGTCGGGTCTAGGGGCTTCCACAAGACGCGCGGGGCTCCTCGACTTGGCCCCCCTCGACAATTAAAAAATTATAATGTATAGTTCTCACAAATTCAACGGAATATGATACAGGGAAACCACATTAATTTAACGACTTCTACTGATTTTTATACTATAATTATTTCAAAAATTGAACTATACATGCTATATCTATACGCAATAGTATTTTAGTGTAAACTAGCAAGTTTCAATTGACTTTGAAATGACTATATACTCGCAATTAACCCCTTGTTATTAAGCGAAGTTTAACTTACTACCAAATATTCATTTTATTTCAATACAGGAATAAAAGAGATTATCTTCTTGTCTTCTTATCGATAACTGTCTTCGAGATAATTAGTAATGGAGTAATTTTTAGTCCAAATTTGAAATTCCCGAGGCGTCTTCATTGAGTTGTTTGATATTTTTCTTGGCGACAATGATTTCAGACTTATTTTTAGCAGAAATTTTATAACCATATCCGTTTCAGGAAGGCTCAGAGCGATTTAATGTATTTTTCGGAACACAGTCACGTTTTATTGTTAAAAACCAGACGTCGATTTCCAACGAGGTGACAAGTAAAATCGGTGCTTAAATTAACATTTCCGTTGAATTTTCTATAAAATAGCAATTTTTAATACTTACATCTTGGTGTATACATTTATAGGGTGTTCCAATAAGTCTTAAGATTAGTGTAAGGTGTGAAAAAATACATTTTTCTATTGATTTATTAATAGTAGAACTAAAAATGCCGTATTTATGTAGCAAAAAATTATTAATTTACAATTTTCTTGGCCACCTTGTATCAAATGAGCAATTTTTCAATACTCTTTAACACCGAATAAACAGGTATCTAGATCATTTTATGTAAATTATGCTAATTTATACAAAAATGAAGAATATAACAAACTCATGAATTACAGGATAATTTCCTCCAGAAAATAATAAATTTGATTAGGTTCACTCATTATTCCTGGAGTGCATTTTAATCGTGATAATTTTCAACAAAAAAGCCATTCAAATACAGGAAAAAATCAAAATCACACCTGACGATTTTAAAATAAGCATGTAAGCATAAAAAACAATAGGCAGTTTATGAGTAATTATTACGGTCACCTGTGGAATAAATAATGACTTATCAGCACATACAATTCAAATATTCAATTTATGCAATAATATTTGCCAGAAAATCACACAATCTATGCGAAATCTTACGATTTCTATAAAAATGTTCAAATGGAGATTTGCAGGAAACTGTTACTGACATTTGACAACAATGACAAATAACAACTGTCAACTTAGTTCAATATTTCTGCCGCAAGGAGCATTATGCAGACAATTTGTCAAGCGTTCATAAAATAATAATTCGTTTTTAGATATTTTAATCTAAGTTTTTTACCATGGAAAAGGTAAGTAAACTTTCATTTTACTCCCTCGCTAATTCTATATTAAATGCCAATCGATTTATTTTAGCTAAAATCGCTAATTTGAAGCTACAAGGTTATGTTGCCCAGCAAACACCAGCTGATAAACAAAAACAACATAAATATTAACAAACAACCAATACGCTGTATTAAACGAATTAACGATGTCCGAACAAACGAGCGAGACAGCGGAAGTACCCTCGAGCAGTGCAACCGATCAAGCCAGTCATGGACAAAAAAGCACAGCAACTGCAGCGAAACCCGAACAACAAACTAGCTGGCTCACGAACTTGCAACGAATACAACAGAAGAAACAGGCTTTCCTCGCTTTTCCTTACGACAAAAAATTGCTGCGGTTGGCTGTGTATTCCAAATGTCAGGTAAACGCTTGCTTGATTTGTAGCAAATGTCATTTTCAGCTGTCATTGCATACAATTGTAAATTATACACAATTATTACTATAATAATACTACATTATAATTATATTATTTTTAGGCTGAAAAATGTGATTGTATTGGGTGGAAAAGGGTCGATGTCAATCAACAAAACCCTACTTTTGAAGGTCCTTGCCGTTGTGAACACTTATTAGGTATGCTTAAAATAATAACAGTGTGTTTAATACATATTAATAATGTTCTTCTTTTCATTTTATAAAGAAACCCACGTTTCTCACTTAGTGGATAAACCCGAGCAGGAATTAAACAGACTTCTTAGCATGACCGTGGACGTAGATAGCATTTACACATCGATGAGCAAAGAAGAGAACTTGGAAACTCATAAATTATACCAATATTTATTTAGGGTATGTTAGCATTTTTGCACCGATTTACTTTAATTTTAAACGCATCTTCAGTTATTAAGAACGTGCGTCTTGACGCTGGAGAAGCCTGTAATAAAAGGCCCGTTGGGCCAACCGCCATTCGAGAAACCCAGCATCGATAAAGCTATTACGAATTTGCTCATTTACAAGTATTCGCATATTAGCCAGCAGGAGTTGAAAACTATGTACGAGTTGGTAAGAGTGTTGTTTAATTCTTTGAACACTTGGGTGTTTCCTTGTCCGAGTAATCAGAAGCATATTGTCAGTCAGGAGGAGGCCAATAAGTATAAAATTGAGTACAAAAGGTATGTACAATTTGATTTTACAATGCTACAAGTCAGAGAATATTGCCTGTATTTTTAAATCTAAGTAAAGGTATTTTTCATACTGACTATATCAATATGGAATAGCAGAGGAGGATGCATTCGAGTCTTTAGTATCCTTGCGATATTATTCTAACATATTCTTTTACAATACCAATATAACTCGAGAAAATCCGTTTATTTGTTATTATTTTTTAGATGGTTGATTTTCTGTTACGTGCCAACATTTTGCGATTCCCTGCAGCACTTCGACACCACGATGGTGTTTGGTCGAACGTTGCTCAGGGGAGTTTTTAAGTACATTCGCAAAGAAATCATGGATCAATTTTACAAAGAAAGAAACAGCACGATGCCGCCGGAACTGAAACAATTGTTACTTACCAATTTCCCGCCGTTTTTGAACCAATTGGACGAGGAAATTTACGCCACGAATTCGCCCATATGGGATCCGGACTTCAAGTCGACGTCGCTGCATTTCCAGTCGCTGTTGGATTCCAGACTAAGAGGTTTGTGTGCAGGAAAATAACGTAGTACATTTATTTTACGCTGCTTATTTATATTGTAACTAAAGGAAAGCAAGTTCGGGCAACAGAAACGCCCGCCAGGGAGACTAAGAAACGGAAATTGGCGCAAGAAGAGCAGTTCGAAGACGTGCCCAAGGAGACCATAGCTGAAATTATAGCGACTATTGACGATCCTAATTACATGACCGGTCCAGATGTATGTTTTTTTATCGAATTCAATCAAAATCGGATATTCATTGTAATGTAATTTTCAGATGGTGTTTTCCGACAACGCTCCACCCACCGACGAGGATCCCAAACTGCAGGAAACCCAGAACGTTATACAGCTACAAGTAATCGGAAATAGCCTAACTAAACCGGTTTCGAAGGAAACGATGCTTATGTTGATCGGGTTGCAGAACGTTTTCTCTTGCCAGTTACCGAACATGCCCATCGACTACATAACTCGATTGCTCTTCGATCCGTAAGTGAAGATTTCGAAGGAAACGGTGCTAATCTAAAAGTCTCGCTTTCGTTTTTAGCAAACACAGGACCATCGTTTTAACGAAAGAAAACCGACCGATCGGAGGAATTTGTTTCAGACCGTTTAAGACCCAAGGATTTACGGAAATCGTCTTTTGCGCCGTGACGTTTCTACAACAAGCCAAAGGTTACGGCATGCATTTAATGAATCATTTAAAAGATTATCACATCTCCAAAGGCATTTACCATTTCCTGACGTTCGCCGATCAATACGCTATCGGTAAATTAATAATATACTCGCTGGTACATGTTATAAGTGCAATTTTTTAGGATACTTTCAAAGACAAGGGTTTTCTAAAGATATTAAAATGAACCGAGCGGCTTATCAAGGCTACATCAAAGACTACGATGGCGCCACGTTGATGCACTGCGAGTTGAACCCGAAAATAGTCTACACGGAGTTTACCAGCATGGTGAGGATGCAGAAGAAAATCGTTAAGCAGCTGATTCATAAGCAGCAGAAGACCGTTTCCAAGGTCCATCCGGGGATCACTTTCTTCAATCAAGGTGCGATTTGTAGTACTTAGCGAGATTTATGGTAAATTTTAATGTTTTATTATTTCAGTTGTAAGGAGTATTCCAATAGAATCGATACCTGGCATAGAGGAGACTGGCTGGAAACCAGCTTCGAGAACGACGAGAGGACAAGTGCTGGAGGAATCCCAAGACGTGGAAGTTTTAGCCGGTCTGCTCAAAACCGTTTTGAATGCTGTATGTATTGAATTTTTTAAAGTAAATTGGAGTTTAATATAACTTTTTGTAGGTGAAAGCTCACGAAGATTCTTGGGCGTTTAAGTCGCCTGTTAAAATAGATCAAGCTCCCGATTATTACGATCACATTAAATATCCAATGGGTGAGTTGAGAAATTTCACTGCATGTTAGTTTTTTTTTTATAAAAATATGTGTATTTTAGATTTGAAGACGATGACTGAAAGATTGAAATCCCGGTACTATGTATCTAGGAGGCTGTTTATTGCAGATATGATGAGAATTTTTACGAATTGTAAATTTTACAACGCACCGACGACTGAATATTACAAGTCTGCTGAAAATTTGCAGCAGTATTTCCAAACGAAAATGAAGGAAATGGGTTTGTGGGATAAATAAATTGAATTTTAATCGAAGTGAGATATCACGGAAATTTTCAGAGTGATAGGAATGAATTTTATTTAGGGAAATGTAAAATCGAATTTTAAGAGAAAACCGATATAATATGTTCATCTACAATAATAAAACAATTTTATACAAAGTTACACAACTGATAAATACATTTGGATATTAATAATACATAATAATAAAAATGACTAGTAAAAATCATTCTACTCATATTAATTTAAAAAAAACTTGTTAAAATAAACTATACTATTCAAATCCAACAAGTAGCTGCGCAAAACGGTGAACATTCACCAAAATACAAAGGTTTGCACTAAAGCTATATAATGTAAAAAAATTTAAAGACACGCTTAAATCCCCGCGAAATTTTCTACAGTTTGAATTTCTTTTCGCTCATTTGACTTTTGTAAAATAAAACCTTATTCGAGAATGTGCAGTAATTAAAGGTAATAATCTACAGGTAATGTCACAGCTCATTTTGATAGCCACCTTCAAGTGGTGTTAGTGAAAATCTCTGCCCATAAAATACTACATATTTTCATAAATATAATATAAATAATAGTTTCCATACAGCTAATTTGAGGTTTATATAAAATTAGTTTCACTTATACCAAAAGTTACAATAAGCTGGAACACCATTTGCTTTCAAACGAGTCGAATTAATAGTTTAAAAAAAATCAAATTGTAGGGATTTCGGGAGATCTTTAACTTATAAAAAACATAGCGACGTTAACAGTTTAAAGTACCATGTAACCGAGATTCAAATTATTCTAGAAATTAGTCTTAACGTAGCGTTACAGCCCGAAAATTTACGCAGATATGATAATTCGGGCTATGACATAACATTCACTTTTCGGGTTTATTTTTCTACTATAACACTAAACAACAAATTTTCTTTACGTACAAAATACATTCTTGCTTCAAATATAAAAAATCACATGTAGCAATTTAACGTGATTGAAGGTTATTCAGGTGTAAATTCCGTTTACTTAAATTCCATTCATACGGAATTCAATACAGTTATAAGAAATAGGTGCATTATAAATTTAGCAAGGAGGAAATATCGAGATTTTTCGTTTTATTGCTGGAATGTTATTGCAGCTGTGGTTTTATTGAGCATGTAATGATCCAATTTTTTTCGACTGTACTAAATTCCGCTTATTTAGGCAATATTTACTTTACCGAAGCACTTCTGCATTTGGTATCCTCGTGCTAATTCTTAAAATCCTAATCTATCTACAGTTTCTTTTAGAAGTATAACAGCACTTTTTTCGTTTCGTGGCTACATTGGACAAGCTTATTCTCGATGGAATTATTAGGAGACATTTCTCGTTCGAACAAATCGCTCCACAATATCCAGGCGTCCTCATCCGGAGTACCTCGGAAATGTCCGATAATAATCGTTTGCATTTTAAACGTCGAAGACTAGTTAGAACGTGAGAAGAATTTTAAATTTCAACGAAAGTTTCGCAACTACGCTAAATACTACAATCGCTGTCCTCGGACAATTCGGCGGGCTCGTCCTCTTCCTCGTCATCTTCCAAACCGTCATCCACGTGATGCGAGAGCAGATCCTCTTCGTTGCCTTCATCGAATGAGCTAGAAAAACACACCCATCAACTATCTTTTCGCTATCGCTCAAAATCGTGCTGTTAGTATATGCTTTATACTTCAGAGAAGATTTTGTGCTCGAAAAGCGCCTCGAAATGGAGAAATATTCGGGGTTTCAGGGACCAGTAGATGGTTCTTCGGTCATTCCAGACTCAGTTGAAGTCCTTTTATATGCAGTTGACAATAGCAATATTTTAATTAATTTCAACTATCGTGAAAATTTATTAACTTTTATTGATCGAAATGGGTAGAGAAGAAACGGTTTTAAAAGCGAATAGATCACAAATACTACACTAACATCACAAATTAATCAACAAGCTGTTAGGTTTAATTAGAGCGTTCGAATTAAAAAGTACCAATCAATTAGGTGAATTAGCGTTCATTCGGTAAGTTAAGTTTGTACAAAGGTTCGAATTAGTAAATCGGTGGAGTTAATACAAAAACGAAGCAACCTCGACACTTTACCAACATCATGCTTGTTCCTTACCCGATCAAAGCCACAATCGTACTCCCTAAATACAATTAAAATCGATTAATTTAACCACTACCGTTTACGCTAAAAATCTAAGTATTACACGATGAAAATGACGAGTAAATTGTACAGGTGACAAGACACGTAACCCAACGAATCGACAATTTAATAGTACAATCATCGAGGTTAATGTGAATCGTGAATCGGTAAATGAAAAAATGAAATACTAAGAAAGCCTCTCTCAGGGTACTTACAAGCTGTCCGGCTGGTCGTTTCCTCCTTCTTCTGCAACCAGAAGCTCGTATTCCTCAGCTGCATACCTATCCCAGTCGGACATCTAACAAAAAATAATACTCTTAAAATCTTACACACTCTATAACGAATGGGAAAGCCCAAGATTTAAGGCAACCAACTATACTCTGACGTTATGTATCATGTAATCTACAATACCTCTTGCCCATCGACATCGTGATCCCTCTGAGTGGCGAACGGATCCCTCTGCTCGTGGTCCAAATACTTCTCCAGATTGAAGAACGTATCGTAGAAGATCGCCGTCATCTTGCACTTCTTCAAATCGCTCAGGGCTATCTTCCCCGGCACCTTCGGCTTCACCATGTCCAGCATCTGGCAGAGGCAGTCCTGGAACGGCAACGTCTCGATGCCGATCGACTCCATGCGGTGCATCTGCTCGTCGTAGAAGTACTCGAGCTCGTACATGGAGAGCGCGCCGTCGCCGTCGAGGTCCATGCACCTGAACCAGTACTCGATGGCCGTCGGGTGCAGCTTGTCCTCTTCGCTGAGCAGGAACCACACGAAGTCCGTGTAGGACATGCGCTCGTCCTGGTGCTTTTTGTGGCTGCGCGTCACGCAACCGGAGAAGATGCGGTCGATGATGCGCGACGATAGAGCTGTTTATAGTATAATATTCGATAGAACTCTCGAAGGAAATCATCGGGAATTGAATTCGCGACTTACCGTGATCGTTGTGCCTGGCCAGGTCGTGCTTGTCGATGAACAGATCGTGGTCCCTGTCCAGCTCCCAGAACTTGCAGTAAATAACGTAGAAATGTTCGTAGCTGAAATATTGAGTGATCTGGTTAATGTCTTCTTCGTCTTCGAGCAATTGGATTATGTTGAGCAGATTGGAGCGCCTCAATTCCGATATTGTCACTTTGCCCGACCAGGACCTACGACAGACGCGCGTAGAGCGAAAATTCAACGTTAAATATCCTTCGTGTACCTATTGACACAGTAATAGATCCTGGCTATGACGGTGTGAACGTATCTCGAATGGAATTCCGTCGCCTCCTTCAGGAAAGTCAGACCCGGGTGGGTCTCCACCACGTCCTGCACCAAAGGGATGAAATCCTCCGGCGCTAACCAACTTCGACGCCCTCTGGTGAGGATGTACACGAAGCGACTCGCCGAATCGTGGCATTGCGAGGACATACTGTAATATACAACCAAATAGTCAATTAAAATCCAATAAACTGAGCTTAGGCAACTCGATGTACTCTGGCGTCATGTAACAGGTAACTTGTTGATTTGTTCGATTGCCCTTAAAACATTTCGTTAACAAACCGAAACGAATTATAATAGGTTTATTTGCGCTGCACGTTGACCTTTCAGGTCTCCACTACTAACGATGATTAAACGGTGTCAGTCGCAGCGATAATTTCAATTTGAGGAAAGGTTCCTCGGTCGATTCGACGAGGTGGAATATCTGCAAGAAAGCGATGGATTTCCTTACTTTTGCCAGAAGCTGGTGAACTGCTCCATGGTGCAGCTGCCCTTGTCGGCGCAAGCTGCAAGGTAGAGCGGCGTTTTCCAGTAGAGCGGCAGCTGCGTGGCCTGCGCGAGAGCCCCGAAGTGCTCCCTCGACGCCCTTTCGCCGATTTTCGAGAACGCCGTGACGATCTGAAACAGCCCGCGTGAGCCCTGGAAAGGCGGATATATCCGGCGATTTTACCTTGGCTCTGACGACTTCCAGTTGGCCCGGCGGGCCGGGTTTCCCCGACGGGAAATGGAACTTTGGTATGTTGAGATTCCGGTGCGCCCTGACGTGCCTTTGCAGGGTCGTGTGCTGCGGATGGGATTGCTTGGAGAGCGGCTGCAAATGACACAGAACCACCATGACTCGGCGCTCGCGGAAAATGTGGCGTTGTTAACGAGCGATTATAGTGGAAAATATGCAGCGAAAATATTGTTCTATCGAATAGAGTACAGTACCGTTGCGTACGCTTGCGAAAACTGAAGCGTTCGTACATCCGAAACGAAAGGTTATTAAATTTTGTGAGCGGTAAAGATAAGAATGTTTAAGTGTTATGGACGTTCTAATCAATGATTCGGTTTATATTTAGATTTGCTCCGCGAGCTCGATTTTAAGACGGCTGAGTACTCGTTTCGGATATAACAAATAATGACATTTTGGAAGTCTCAAAATTTTTGAAAAAATCACCCAATTTTTTTCTCTATAAAGAGAACTCATTCTTCATGTACGGAGTGTCCTTGTATGGAGTCGACATGATGAAAAAATCATTAAATATTTTGAATTTATCACACTGTATATTTTCGCATTAACAATCCTTTTACTTTTCTATGTATACCAACCGGTATGCCGACTACAAAAGTTCTCCTACATCATGATATTTCTCAAGAAGTCCACTTTAAAGTTTATTTACAAGATTTCTCCCATAAAATATTGTAACGTTGGCCGGTTTCCAGAATACGCAAATAAATTATGATAATATGCACGATGTATCTTTCGCTCTCTCTGCGTTCTTGTTTCAGATGTCGCCAATAATTCCGGCGATTTTTCCCATTGTGCAACGGGATGTATTCCAGATCGAATCGAAATCTATTCGCCATCCATTAAAATTGCAATTCGGGTCGTATAGTTTTTAGCAAATTCCAAGAATCCTAAATTTATACACAAGTATCAGCATTTTGAATTACTGACCTATTGTTAGTTAAATTATTCGCGAATCTAACAGAGCTCCGAAATAATCCGAACGCGCAGTCACAGCAGCTGGAAGAAGCCAATTTTCCGCGGCGATTTTGTTAAATTAAAATTATCATTCATTCCGAAGGCATCGATCGTGGTCTTGCAACCCAATGGTGTTCGAACACAATCGAATCGGAATCGCACGTGTGTGGGTGAGTGCGGTTTACGTAATGGCGTTTCGTGTCATTGTCATTGCTACAGAATAGTTTCACGTCGAATCACAAACAACGAATGCCATTACAAATGGTGTTTTTGTGCTTTCAAAGCGAACAATGCGAGGTAATATTGGCGAAAATAGAAGAATCTGCAGCCTAAAAATTCTGTACAAACATTATGTTACTTCACAGAAGTGGAGAATTGCTTCAATTTAGGCAACTGGTACTTTATTATCTTTAGAATATGAACCATTTAGTAGCAAACTAAACAACCCAATTTTGTTTACCTACACACCAATTTTTCTGCTCTGGCTACTACCCCGCAAAACGTTTCATAAATGCACTAAAAATCCAAAAAAACTATTCGTTTGAGCATCCCACGCGAGCGCATTTGCATGTATCAATTAAACGTAAACGGTAAATCGAGCCCGGCAATTCGAAATGAGTTCGAACGCTCGGCGTTTAATAAATTATCATTATCTTCTATTGTATTTAATGGAAATAATTAAGAGCGGTTTTTCCATATTCCTGTTTCCCATCGAGTTCATGCACAGCCGCACGAATCGTCGGTAATTACGATGTTATCGCGATCTCGGGAGATAATAAACCATGGAATGGGGAACGAAGTGTTACGGACCGCGCTAGAAAATCCTCGGTGGAACTTAATCATTTTATAATGTGGAAAACGATCGTATCGATGGTGTTATTTTGTGGTTAAAGGAGAAAATGATGTGTTATGAAGTTTCGATTTATTTATAGTCGATCGATTCCTGGTTTAAATCAACGCATTTGAGTTTGAATCCATTAGTATGTAGCTAATTATGTTGCGCAATTTCGAAAGTATTTTTATTGCGATTCTTTCACAAAAAAACCTGATTTTAAGTTTAAATTATTAAAGTTAAATCCACCAGTTCAAATTGTTAATAAATGATAAATATTTCTGTAGTAATTTGTTATAAAATAATTTGTACACAGGGCGATTTATATAAAACTCCACATGTGAACACTTTGGTAGGGATTTTTCAATAAATATTTGGACAAAATTATATTTTCTATGCAACTCTATACTCTTTTGCATAAATCGCCCTGTACACAACGTGCCCTGTAGATAAATCATTGTGCAGATCGTACAAATTCAATTTAATGCAATTTTCGGGCAGCCCGTTTTAGAAATTCCACCTGCAATTTTTTTTAATGATGCTGACACCAACCGAATTCCGATTTTACAAACGAGCGAAAATCGCAGAAAAAAAATCCAAGTTGTAACATTCAATCGGCGAACACCAAACGACGCCGGCATGTAATTCCGATCTTTTTAAATATCAAATTAACCGTTCCAGTAACCTTGTAACTTAAAACGCGGTGTCACAATTTCTCATTTCATTTTTCATTCTCACAACGATCATTACAAAACCGATTTTTTCCCAACTCCCACAGATGTTTGGATACGCCGGCGTTGCGTAATTCATGCGGTTCGTTTGCATTTTTCCACAGGTCGAAGACGATCACCGTTTATAAATTTCGGCGATTATCTAATAGAATTAAACGATTATTTTTAGGTCGTCCAACAAAAACACAGTTCGAATTGAAGGTCGATAATTGCATGTTCCGGATTACGAACGTAATTATAAGGACAATGGAATTAGGCTCGTTAACGAAAATAAATATTAGCAGAGTCAACTCGTCCAATAAAATCTCAAACTTTTCAAATAAGGTAGACTGGGGCAAATCGGTTGTAAAATTTGAATAGTTCAAATTAAATCCTGAAATGTGGCTTAATTTTTTTTCTTATTAGAAATGCTGATACCACATTAAATTCACAACTTCCTAAACTAAAGAATCGAGGTATTAAAAAGTTTTTTTGAAAAAGGAAGAAAACGATTTTACATATTTTTTGAAATGTTGACAATATGTTGACAACGGTTCTAAAGTGCAATACACTTATATAGAAAAACATATGGGGCAATTGTAAAAAAATATTTAGTCCCTCTAAAATTTGATATGCTGTTTAATTATTTATTTCAAAAAATAACAGAGCTACAAAATAATAAAGAAAAAATAAGAAACAAACCCCGTCTAATGCACAAAAGAACTATAAAAATAATAAAAACATAATAGGTAAAAATATTACATTTACCCCATTTTTACATTTGCCCCAGTCCACCTTACACCGCATTTATAGCATGAAAGATTTGTATAGAACTCACCGGAATTTTGGAGATCTGAGGTACCGGAGCCCTAGCCCGTTTGTCCAGCAGCAAATCGCTGGGACACCGCTCGAATATCAGCACCCTTTCGGCCACCGAGCCCCGCGTGAGGAACGGCCTCACCGGATTGGAGGCGGCTGTTTGCCGGAGGTGCTGCCTTTGAGTGGTGGTCAGTTCCGGATGGGGCACCTAGGACATAATTCCACATTCAAAAGAAGCTACACAACGGAACTTTAGGATAAGGGTAGCTTCTTAAGCAAACAGGGATCCATTGGAGGTTGAAAAGGAAGCTATTACCTGCTGCTCGGGCCTTCTGGGCGTGCTGCGCAAGCCCCATTTAGTGGCAGTCGAAGTAACTATAGATGTGGATACAGGCGTTGTGGTTGGTAACGTTGGTTCCACTAATCTTTCAGCTGGAAGAGCTTCCTTAATTGGCGATTGCTTTAAAGCCTAACAGTACCAAACACTTTTGAGCAAATATCCTGGAACCACCAACGAGCGAACTCACCTTATTCAACTTCCCTAGAGCTCTATCCGGCTCGTCGCTGACGATGTCGCCGTTCTTGAGGGCGTTGATGAGCTTCTTCTCCTCGGCGGCTACTTGGTCTATGGTGACCGAGGAGGGCTCGGTTTTGCGGTAGCCCTCGTCGATGCCGTTGGTGTTCTTGGAGGCTCGATAGCCGAGGTGGTTGTCCGGTTTTTTCGCCGTTTCGCCGCCGACGAGGCGGTTTTTGAGCGGCCACGTTTGCAGGCCGCTGGTCACCAGGTCGGGCGGTAGGGTCATTTCGATGGTGTCGTTGAGCCGGGGCTTGGGCGAGATTTGGGGTTTCTGGCCTATTGCTGGCTTGGCCTGCAACAAGGCCATTTGTTTCACCGAAATTCTCAGTCGCTTTGATAGTAATATATTCTATTTATAGGTAATTAGATATTCTACATTATAAAAAAGTTGTATCGTGTTTCCTTCCATTTAGGTATAATTAAATGGTCTTACGAGCGCTAATCATGCGATGTAAGTACCGAGGTGATTATCTATATGAATCTGATGCAGAGGTTGCAGCAAATTTACCTTTAATAAAATTGCTACTACAACTGTAATTAGATAGTTTGCGATATAATTCAATTAGCTGAAAAGTGCGATAAAAGGTGGGGTAAAATTTTACTTTTGCAACGAATCGAAATATTAATTATAATATGGTAATGGTGCGGCGTTTAATTACACGTCAGCGAGAGTTTCTTTCTCCACGAGCAATTTTAGAGGTTTTCACATCGAGGTAATTGTCGGTTATTAAAAGTAACTCTCATCAGGTATCCTGATCGGATCGGATTTTCCAATCAAATCGGCCTAACATTATCAGATATTAAAGTCGGTTCATCAATCTTCATTGCGTCCCGGCGAAATTGGGTTAATGAACATTTGGAATTACGTCAAAAACTAATACGCTAATAAAATTGGCAATTTTTTTTTAATTAATCGCGAGAGGCGCTCGAAATGCAAACCACGAATTTCCGAAAAAAATTGGTTATAAATATTCCATTACGTCCGATTTTCGATCAAATTGGCGCGGATGAAATTATGTAACACAAACTCTGAAACCTCTCGTAATTAAACAGAGATTATTCTTTTAACTTTTCGATTTAAGAGTCCATTCTCAAGGCAAAATTTGATTTCTAAAACTGTCTCCGTATTTTCGCTTTTATTTAGGAACCATGTAACTTACAAAAATAAGAAGCAAATAAAAAAGGAAAATTTATTCTATGCTTCTGCTGTACTATTTTAAATTCTTCCTTTTATTTTTCTTATAAATCGCTTATGAAGTATACAAAATTAGCTATTTTTTATTTAAATTTCGAGCCAACCGACCGAACGATTATATAATTTCCTTGCATTTTATTCCTACAACAATCACCACGGTGTATTAACTCGAATTAGTTTTTTTGTATACCAAAAATACAGCGACCTGTGTGGTCCAATTACAAAGGAAATATCACCGGGTGACTCGAGAAGTCGTCCTTATAATACATCAAAAAAGTAATATCATAATAGTACACCAACCTGAGCGGAATTATTGGTCGTTGTAAAACAATTCAATCCGGCGCCGTTGGAGGCGTTGTTCGCAGGCCCGCCGCTGAGCTTCCTGCCCGGCAATGTGGCGGTTTTCCTGAGGTAGCCGCCGCCCTCGGCCGCCGCCGGCCCGCCGTCGGGCTGGCTGAAGCCCCGCTCGAACTTCTGCAGGGCGTACTGGATGCTGGAGGGCATCTTGTTGACGGGCGACGTCGCCGGCAACAGCTTTATCCTGTTGGGGGCGATCCGGGCCTTATCCTCGTCGACGAAGTTCTTCACCAGCTTCTCCAGCCTGTTGTTGTCCATGGTCGGCGCCTGCGCTAGAATGTCCAAGGGGGCCTGCTTCGACGGGGGCTGGGACTTCAGCATGGACCTGCAAGAAGAGTGGTTCTCTACGAATATATTCCTACTTTCTTTGGTAGGTTATTTCATTGTGAAATGGTGGAGATTTTATGTGTTATTGGTTGGAGTTTTTAATTTTTATTAAAGGAAATAAGGTATTGGTATTTTGTTTTCGTTCATTCCATTGTCGAACAAGAAATATTAGTTTTTGTAGGAGGTGTATTTAAATTTTATTGTTCATCAATAACTGGTAAGCAATAATAAATTTTTATGGGTAGCTTAAATCCAAGGTGACTTGGATGGAAGGTGTAAAAATGGTCAATATAGGCACTTAATATAGATAAAAACACCTACCAGTTGTTCAGAGTTTCTTTAGGAAAAAGCATAAAATTCGCTTTAAAACATGGAAAAACATGTTTGTCTTAATTCTATACATCTCGACAAATTCTCGACTTCTTCTACAGGGTGAAAAATTATGATAAAACCGTAAGTTTTCCGCGACTCTCCCTGTACATTAAAAGTAAACTTTAGGTACAAATATTTAAGCAAAAAATCGTACTACAACTACTTGGTATATCCAACAAGAAGTCGAGCTTTCAACACATCAAACCCTTATCTGTCACGAGTTGAAATAAATAGCCTTCTCCAGAAATAACCTCACTGAACCAAATTGAAGCGTGTATACGATATGTACACAGGTACATTAGATTAAAATATCTCCCATCACACGCGTAAGATTCAACATCACGAATACCACCAGACATCTTCCACACCTACCATTATCCATACCATTTTAGTGGACTAAAAAAAAGTGAGGTTACACTCTACAGGCGAACATAACCCTTCGGTTGCCGATAACCGACGCGGATTAGAACGAACGGCGCGACGGAAACACTCAATTTTTAGCGAAATCGACGTTCGAAATCGGCGATTTTCGAAAAAAGAAAAAAAATCGAGAAAATCCGCGACGCGTCGCGGAAGACGTGGAAGAGATAAAGCGACTAGGAAACCGGCGGCTCCCGATTCAGGATGGCTGGAACTAAAATAAAACATGTGGGTTATCGGCGTGGTGAAAATAGTTCGTGGGCCAGAACGGGAAAATCATCCACACATCGATACGCTTCGGTTATTCCGCTCGATCGAGTGGAGAATTTAGATCTCTCTGACTCTGTACTTTTTTTTGAAAAAATATTTGTCAGCAGCGCTTTATTTGGTATAAACCAATCGTTGAAATCATCCTAAATAATAGCAATTTGAGTAAAAATTCCTGCCTTGACGGGGTTAATCAACCAACAATTTAATTCATCACACCTACTTCCATACATCTTGGTATAAAAAAGCGTTGAAACCATCCTGAAAATGTAGGTAAATCGAGTTCCGATCGAATATTAGCAATTTGAGTAAAAGTTTCGGCCTTGACGGGGTTAATCTAAATCTCTTCCGCCTGCGGACATGCATAAATTGCGATATTTTCCTTCGGAACACGATAAAATCCTTTCCATACACGTCGATATCAGAACCTATCGTGCATGTTAGCAGGAGCAGTTAAATCAGGAAACCCGGCCTGATGTTATACACTCTTCGATTATTGATTGATTTGACACCACCGGCGATTTACCTAATCGTAAAAAGCGGTTTAAATAAGAAAAACGAACGCAGTTAAATCTGTGATAGATTGAGAAAATTGTAGTTAAATTGCAACTAAGGAGGTTGACCACAATGCGATTCTAATGCATCTATTTTACGATGCAGTATGCAGTCGATTTTCTCCGAGTTATTATATTCAAATGAGATTGCAAAGAGAAATCAGAATGCATTTACTAATAACGATTTTTATCGATATATCGATGGTTCTTTACAAAGGTATGATGTAATTGAAATTGAACATATGGAAAGCTGGTATTTTTATTTCTTATGTACAAATATTTGATAGTGTGAAATTAGGTATAGAAATTCATTTAGAGTGTCCCCTGTAAGTTCATTATCATATGATCCAAATGGCTTTAACAAAATAAATAAAGCAAAAGATAAAAAAGTGAAAGCAATTTAAGGGTTGAAAAATTCGTAAAGAAAACAATTTGCAGTTTTTTACCACTCATGCATGCTTAAAATACCCGCTCAACAATAGACTAGATCCATACATTGACCTTTTCGAGGTGAAGGGTGAAAAACCCCTTACGTCGGGTACAAACACTTAAATATTTGATCAATATCTTTATAGTCCGATATAAAATTGGCGGTTTACTCTAAAGGTAAATTATTAATCAATTCAAGCATTAAGCTCAAATAGTGCTGAATGTGTTGGAAATTCAAAAAATCCCCCAAAAGAGGGAAATTCCCATCAAATCGGCAACGCTGGTCGAGATCTCGATTCGGCTACGTCAAACATGACATTTAATATCAAGATCTCGGATAAGTCGAGCTAAAAATCAAACAAAGCAATCGGAAAAACAAATTCGTCGTAGCAAGCGAGGAGTACGTTTATTTGAGCGAGGAATTGGCCGCTTGCCAGCCCATCCAGACAAGAAAAGCGCCTCTATAACGTCGCATCGGCATTAATAAAAGGAATTTAGTACTCATCTCGCGCACGACCATAATAGAATGCCCAAGTTTTGCTTTTGTAGGCCGGTTTTTTTTTTGCTTTGGCGAATTTGAATGAACCGCCCCGACGCCAACTTGGATGCAATTAAATCCGATATCGGTATAGCTTGTTCGGGTAACTTCTAATGAACTTTCCGAGTTTAATAGTTTAATGTTCAAACATTCGCCGGATTCGTTTACAAAACTCTCCGCGTAAAATCGAATATAGTACGTTCGCAATTATCTAGCGGCGACGTCACAAGCTGCGTTGCCACGTCGTCAATTTTTCCTCGACTTTCGGGAATTTTGAAAATCGAGTGAGTTTGTGTGGATAATAAAATTCGATTCGATGCGAGAATGGGAAACGATCTGGTCGATTTTCGGCCTTGATCGCGCGCATAACTATAGTTTCAGGGTATTCACGAGAACAAGTTGCTGGCATTCCTAGCGTTTTTCATTTTACGTTTATCTAATAATAGTCGGTTGTATTTTAGACTATAGGAATATGGTAGTTTAGAGATCCGACGAGGCATGCGGAAGATAAAGGCATAATCCGATTTTACGCCGCAATTTCTACTCGAGTCGGTTAATTTTTATGAAATATTAAATTACACTTTTCATTTTACATAATTCCCATTCGCAATGAAATCGAGCGAGCAAACAGTGTGGAACAGCCAAACGAATTAAATTCTTTGTTTAATAAATGATGAGTAGGTAAACTTTATTTTAAAGTTTTAAAGCTAAATTTTGTATCGAATTCAAATTGCTTTACTTCTATATAATAATGTAATGTAAAAAACAGGAATTAAAATTTCTATAACTAACATCTTTGTAATTTAATAATTTCGCAATTAAATTTCGTATACCTATACTAGTTAGTAATTAGATATTTTGTTAAATTGTTCAAAATGTATACATTTCGTAATGTTTAATTACACATTAAGAACTTTTCTGATTAATTCAACAATTCGCCGATATCCAAAAACATAAATTTACATAAATTTATTGTGATCTCACTATTTCAAACAACAAATTATCGACTCGTTGTTATCAGCTGCTATTAGTTCTAAATATAACGCATGATTTGACATAGTTATATCGATAGTTAAAAATTACATCAATTTTGCGCAAGAAAAATCCAACACAAATTAACATTTATCCACAATTGACTAAAAACAACTCATGCAATCCATAAACATTTACATAGACTGTACGAGATAATATAGAGATTACAGTACGAAAAGAATAACTGAAGTCAAATCGCATTCTCGCAACTCCAGCTATTCCTACAGGTCTGTACTTTCTGAATCTCCTGGGATTTACTAGACCTTTCGATGTCTTCGATATTCTTCACAGAGCCGTCTAGAGAGGCAACGAAACCACGCAAATCCTTTTGTGTACGATAAATCAGCTAAATAGAGTTATTTAAGTTGAACTCTCGGACAACTACGGAGCGTACCTAACATATATACCAACGTGAGAGGCGTTCAAATATTTACTTTCCCATGAATGCCTGAATAAGTGATACTTGAAAACACCCTTTTGCCATTACACGCGGCGCCACGCTCGAGTTTTAAACGAATAGCTTCGCTCGCTATATATAAATTCACCTCCAATTTCGACGCAGGGACATTAGTAAATCATTATTAAGTAATTTAAAGGGAAATTGTAGTACTTACACTAGCTTCGTGGTGTCGCCAGCGGCATGGCAAGTGAGCAAATCCGCCGGTCCTAAACCCCTCGACTTCCAATTTTGGTAAATCGCTTCGGCCTGATCGGAAATGTGCTTAGCAATGGCGGCGATGTCATCGTCGGGGTCCCTTCTGCGCGCCGTCGTCGCCATTTCTTCAATGATTTTCCGAACGGTTTTTCACGGTGGTCCATCTAAACGCGAACTCGCGGTAACGACGCAACGCTCCTCGCATTTCTCCTGGTTCCGATGGGCCCTTCGCTGAAAGAGATACCAGAAATTAGAGGCATTAGAGAGTAGAACGATTCTCGCTACCTTTTCAATAATGTTGGGTGATGCATTATGATTGGGAATGAGGTAAACTTTGATGTAGGAATATTTATTTGGTGTTCGTAATTAGAGACATTAGAGAGTAGAACGATTCTCGCTACCTTTTCAATAGGTACTAAATATTGGGTAATGCATTATGATTGGAAACGAGGTAAACTTTTGCTGTAGGAATATTTATTTGGTGTTCGTAATTAGAGACATTAGAGAGTAGATTGATTCTCACTACCTTTTCAATAGGTTCTCAATATTGGGTAATGCATTATGATTGGAAATGAGGTAAACTTTTGCTGTGGGAATATTTATTTGGTGTTCGTTTTTACTGGCCTTACTGGGTCTCGGTCAGGTGTGGAAGAAGTGTCGAGTGAAATGTGAAATTGGCGATATTTCGAATTCATGTCGCTCGCTATCATTACGCGTAAGTACGTTCCATTGTGTTTTACTGTCGAAAGTTTGGTGTGCATTTGAACTTTGGTTGGAAAATTCGGTCAAGTCGCGACGAATAAAGCGAAAAAGTAGACTTCATCAGGTACTTTCCATCATTATTTTTGATTATTTACGACGATAAAATCGCTCGTATAGCGGGATGATAGTCCTCAAATAACTTCCAATAAATAGAATCGTCAACTCTACAAGCATTTATCATTCGAAAAAGCCAAACTTCCGGCGAACTTCTGACGACTTCGTCACCGATGAAAGATCGAGCGGAAGACGAAAAGGAAGCGAAGATTGTTTGGATAAATATAATCCGACAGTTAGAATCTCCCCCTTCGCTACAATCGATTTCTAACACCTCGAAATCGTGCATTAATTGTTTCCAAACGGGCGTACTACATCGCTCGAATAAACAAAAACAGGAGCATAAATTAGCGAATAAATAAATCGCAGAATGGTTCTGCGTTAATATACAAGGTGTTAACGTAGATGGCTGCACCCAGATTTCGGAGTGGCGGTATTTTTAGACGCGTGATGGTCAATTGTTACGTAAGGTGGCCTCAGAGCAAGATTATTATCGCACGGAGATATATGACCTACTACCAATCTTCTTTCACCGGCGAACAATAACAACGATGCGACAGTTTAACGGGATGATTGTTAAGTACCAGTTAAATTATGGATTATTATTATTGAAGATGATTACTTGCTTAATTTTTATGTACACATTAATTGTAACTATTAAAAAAAAACAGCGTTTTTAAGAGACATCAAAAGACAACAAAATTTTGACCGGAAAAGATTTTCCGTAATTTTCGCAAATCCTTGGCGCTTATATTTAGGCTTGTCTAGTGTATGCATAACAACTTATTACCCGATAAATTATTTTAGACAACAAAATTTCGCTAAAAATACCATGTTTGCTTTTGTCGCATATGAATTTCCGCGATTTCAGCGACTTTAAAGCCACTCAAGGTCGCCCGCTGCACTCTATCGGACACGTAGAATAAATTACAATATATTTTTATCTTAAGGCGACGTTAAATTGGATAATTCGCTTTTGTTTAAAAACAGTAGGTAATTCATGCACCGACGTCATCGTTGTGTAGATTAAACCTGTCTGTTACAGATGCACCATATTTGTATAATAAGCGTTCGCAAGTAATCGGGAATGATGCATTCGCGATGGAGCACCAGATAAAAGAAAATAACTATACACATGTACGCATTTGTTGCATAGTTGCATGCAGGTTCATCAACCGATCTCTTTTGTCTTTTACCGGCTCGCATTCGCACTTGGAAAAGCTTATATTCTCGACGAAATTTACCTAAGCTATTGCGATAAATATCTCACTCGAGAATAACAAACACGACAATCGAATTCCATACAACGATAGCGGCATTGCGAATATGAAAATTGCCAATTTTATTAACCTAATTAAACTCATCCGTAAATGAATCACATAAAATTTATATTAAAAAAAAAAACATGATTTGCATGTAAGCAATGACAATTTTAAATGATTATTAGGTCGAATGCTGCTCGCGTTTGGCGTTTTTCGGGAGAATTTTCAGTAGGTGCATTTACTCCGAGGAAAACATGTCGTCATGTCGTTGCCCTTTGGCCGCAAAAAATTTGGCAGCTCTTTTGGCATTGGTCACCGAAAATAACGCCGAATAATATTAAGGTTTATGTAGATATTACTTATGCGTTTGATATCGAATTAGCCTAGTTTTGTTCTAAATGCAAAGAAACTCGTTGAAATATTGACACCCTTTGGGCAGGTTAATGGCTCTGTTAGGAGTAGATTACATTTGCATTAATATACTGCTCCACAAAAGTTAAGGAAGTTCACAAATATTGAGATTAATTTAAAAGTTGCAGGTTTTTTGATAGCCAAATTTAGTATGAGTTGCAAAGGTAGGGACAAAAAATTCACTCAGATATGAGAGATTTGAAAATTTGGTGATTAAAAAGTCTGTAACTTTCAAAATAATCGCAAAATTTGCGATCTTCCTTAACTTTTGTGGAGCAGTTTATTACAGGATATATAGAGTTATAGGTTTTAATTTCTGCGAATTCTTCAGGCGACCAGCTTACGCTCTATCTGTATAACGTGTAAATATTTAGGCGAATATCTAGGCCACTTTGTAAATAAATCGGAAGCCGTTGAAACATTGCATCGCTTGGAATATTAACGCTTGTAAGGGTATAACGTCACACGATAAATTTCTAATGTACACACAATTACCATTGACTTTGCGTACAAAATATTAATTAAGAGATAACTTTTTGCGTAAGCGCGGTCTGGCCCATTTCCATACGGAACTCATTAAAGCGAAGATTTAAATTTCGAATTAGCATAAACGGACGAAAAAACCGATAAAAAACGGAAACTCTACAGTTTTCTAATTTCACATTACGACCTAATTACGCAAAATTACATGTCACAATGCCAGTATATGTACCTCCATTGCTATAACCACCGGTTTCTGCATTCAATTTTAATTTTCGTCCTCATTTGCGCGATTTTCAACCGCCATGGACCGTGCACACATAAATGATAATTTGACATGAATCGAATTAAATTAGATGTGAGTAATATCTTCAATTAGACGCGCCTAATTGCAATTGAGATGACGTAACGCATCGGCATTTTTTTCAACCGATGCATCATAAAAAATTCATTTCAATAAACCATTACGAGAATCGCGCAAAAGTACCTATAAAAATACTCCTTAGAGTCACTGAAGGAACTGGGTAAAGATTCTTTATTAGGTAGGTAACCTTCTAATGCTTCTTTATGTACCTATTAGCATTCTCTTACTTTGTGAAACTAATATATTTTGTTAACTAATGGATAAAGAATAGCGTGTTAATAAAGCGCTTTAATCACCACCACCCCTCATTCTGCTACTCATGTGTTCAATTAGAAATTGCTCTATTTAGGAGAAACAGGTTGTCCTAAACATTTCGTTAATAGTTCGAGGGGAAAGTTCTCATATTATTTAGCATCACCATCAGCAATAACCATTGACTGGCACCAGGCGATACATTAAAAACCGCCGATATGGAAACCGAAACCCTCCTACGATTCCACGCCGAGTTCTCTCCATTCATCGTTATAATTCGGCGTAGGTTAAGCAGTCGTTGCGTTTCAATGCCATTCGACACAGGTAACGAACACGAACAAAAAAATTGCGCAACATAAGTAGGTATAAATGGTGAATATTTGGCCTCGCGCGAACGCCGATAGATTGAAGTTTTCATCGTTTTTGCGTAGATTTCCCATCCGCGGGAGCTTTCTTTGAAGCCCCTTTTTTTCGGAAAAACGAAAAAGTCCAGGTCGTTCAACTGGCAACAAACCGAACGAAACTCTCCAAGGTAGATGGAGACCGAAATAGAAGGAGAGGACGAGCAAAGTGTACGAGTGCGTGTCGTTGGTTTGTATGGCTTTTGCATTCGTACAGAATTGGATTTCAAAAGGAGTTCTATTTTAATCAGAGCGAGGTGGTGAATGAGGTGGAATAAACTCGGGTTTGTATCACTTGGATGAAAAGTCCGCGGAAAATCGCGCTTTCGATCTCAACTTTTCGACCCGCTGCGAAACTATTAGGCGATGAATGAATAATTAAGTTGTTAAAACGTTTTGGAAATAAACGTTGTCAACGTAAATAACACGATTATCAAACACAGTAGCACAAAAAAATAAGACATAAAATAAATTAGTACAATTCGAGAGAAATAAAGGTGAATAACTTTGATAGATAATTTCTATTTTAAGGATACTTGGGGTGGTTAAATTCGTGTGCAATTAGGTCACTGCGGTCCTGTATTTGAAGACCTATTAATACATTTTCTACTATTAGACTAGAGTAGGAAGTCGCGCATAAACAAAGATATCGTAAATTTAGCAATGGGACTAAAATGGGGTAAACAACATTTTATATGTTGTACTGCTGTTGATTTATTTAGATGCGGGTGAATAAATAATTAGATTCTGGATCATTTGCGGAGAGATCGGTTTTCGTGCTGGGGAAATATTACTTTTGAACATTTACATGCACCGTTCGGTGTGACAGGTGGAGTTGAAAATTTGCAAAAAAAATGTTTATGAGATACAACTGACGAATAAGCGAAAAATTGACAACACGTTTCAAAGAATAATTAATAAACTATTCAATGATAAACCGAATTCTTAGTAAAATTTTGAAAACTGTACCAATTATCTTTTATCACTAGCAGGCATTTGTAATTACTGAAAAAATTACCAATCTAATATAAATTTAGCTATTCTTTTTGCACTGTTCAAAAAGCATATAAACTCAAAAGAAGTGATATACAAAATAAATTTAATAATCGATCACCACAGACTTCTCCATTACTGTTTTACAGGTAAGTACTTCTTCGTGTGGATGTATGGGCGTCAATTATCGGGTCAAATGTCAGCCCATATACTTATATTTCATCGTCAACGAGAGTATTTTTCACGAAACCCACGTAAAAATGCCGTGGGGCGGGCGATATATCGCTTCTGATGAAGATTATAATGTACAGCAGATCATAATCGGTGAATGTGTGTGGGCTTTTTAATAAACCGCGTGAATTACTGATAGATAATTCTTTATTTAGGTAAATACTATTTTGTTGATCTTCGGTATTATCCTCTGGTTTTAACTATACTAATTGTTAGTTAGTAGATATTTCTAATTATTTAATTTTTGTTATCTCTAAAAACGTTCTTGGGCTAACATGTAATTATTTGCCTATTAAGTAAGAACCCGTATCAAATTTTTAAAACTGAACATTGTTTTTATCATTATAAAAAAATTTCCGACTACGGAAAATTTGAACGTTTTATCTACAATAATCCTGTTACGAAATTTGTCAAATAGTATTTATAATGTTAATGATAATAAAATATATTTAATATTCTTTGCTTAACTACTCATTCAATAATTGATTAACCTGGTTTTCATCTTTTTTTTTCAAATTAAAACACTGGCAAAAAACCACTATCTCCTAATCCATTTTCCCATTAAAAAACCTACCGTACCTCTTACCCCAATTCCAGATAATCCCTTTCTCATGCTTTTTAAATATCATTTCCAAATGCTCGAATTTCACATACCGGGGAGCTTTTATTCTCACACTTCTCTGCATCCTTTTGCTACGCTTTTAATCGACACCTTCCGGTTTTTTATACTCCATATCCGAAAGATTAGTAAACAAGAAAAAGCCGTAAACAAATACCTAAAGGTAGGTAACTGTACAATAAGCAAATAGAGGAGTTCAGTGTAGCAAACCAGGACTTGTACAGAGTGAATCAAATTAGTAGCATCTTGAAAATTATAGTATTAAATTGCATTAGAATCATCCTGTATAAATTCAATAACTGCTTTAATTATGAATGGTTTCTCATTGTTTTTATTTACGTGTTTATTTTAATTCGAAGGTAAGTAAGTATTTTTTAACAAAATATTCATATTTATTCTGAATTAATTTCTGACACTTGGGGTTTTGAGAGGAATAATAATTATACATGCTGTTTAGTCATAAAAACAGTCCCTAAGGTAAAATGAATGTATTCATTGATCCACATACATCCGCATTCGGGCAGGAATAGGAATGCACATATCAGCTGTACAGGCAGCTGCGGGTTCGTTAACTTTACAGGCGGAATTATTAGTGAAAATTCGGGTTTTTCCCGGCGATTTTCACCCGAGTTGTCCGGGTTATTTTCGGCTTTGGAAGACACGAAAAATCGACAAAAAAAAGTAAAGAGTAGGTATCTCTACATGCATTTAAAGCGGAGGACGGAGTAAGGTGTATTTTTAGCACTTAGTATTCGACGAAAAATGAACATAAAACCGCTTTTAGTTGATGCAAAAATAACCCGACGAATTACTAAATTCGTTACGGTTGTAAAGGTATTAGGTAAAAAATAAACTAATATATAGAGTCGTTTGATTTACCTTATAAAGCAAGGCGGCGGTGATTGTTGAATGAAGGAAATTCCATGCGAACGTTATCACACACTTGCACACTATCCCGAATTTGTTTCGACTGAAAAAATGCGAGTTTACCAAACTAAACAAAACTCACTGAAAAACCGACACCCTACTCTCATAAAAACAACATCTAATAAAGACGAGCCGCAATCGAATGAACTCGGATTCGGATCTCGGGTCTCGGTGACTAGATTGAAAGTACGCTCCTAGCGACATCTGTGCTCACGTCAAGCAGTTAAAATGTTTTTTGTTTGACACAGAACGTAAGATTTAGGGTGCTCGGTATTTTAGATTTGTGTTCTGTAATTTTCAGACATATAACGACATCTTTCGGAATAATGTGAAACCGATTACAAAGAATACTGTATTTGATGAATAGTTCTACAGTTTCTGAATTATTATCAATACTGATTGATGAGAGATGAAAGTATAAAGTCAAAGCCTTACTAGCCTTACCAATTCGTTCCTGTAAGCTATAAGTTCCAAGTTCCAAGGGATAGGTAAATATACACATTAACGTGTTTTTAAAAGTAGATATTTATATTTCTATGAATTACATTTTTTGTAATATAGTCTTAAAAGAACTTCCCCGATCATTCGTGAAGTGTGAAGAATTTCTGGTAACTATCGGCTGCGATTTTTCTCAATTGTTCAGCGGAAGCTTTTCCAGTTTCCGCCACCATTTTGTAAAATATCCCGTTTGGATTTTGGAGGAGCAGATGAGGATGATCGAATTCGACTACTTGACCAGCATCCATTACTAATACCTTATCGGAATCCATGATGGTGTTTAATCTATGAGCTACAGTTATTACGGAACAATCAACGAATTTTTTTCGGATGGTTTTCTGAATTAATGCGTCAGTTCTAGAAGAAAAAATTAATGTATTTTCTTAAATAAAACATGTAAATGTACTTACTGTGGGTCTACATTAGCTGTAGCTTCATCCAACATAAGAATTCTGTTCTGTTTGATGATAGCTCTAGCTAAGCAAATTAGTTGTCTTTGTCCAACACTGTAATTTGAACCTCTATCCATCACTTTATTTTCTAGTCTGTTAATAATATTTGCTGGGTCTTTAAGCTCAACATCCTCAATGGCTTTGTACAAAACATCATCATTGTACTCATCGAATGGATCGAGATTATATCTTAATGTTCCAGAGAACAAAACTGGATCTTGTGGAATAATCGAAATTTTCAAACGAAGATCCTTTAAGCTGATATTCCTGGTGTCGATGCCGTCGATTCTTATAGCACCTTCGATAGGTGCCAACCGGAATAACGCTTGAATTAAAGAGGATTTACCTGCACCAGTTCGTCCAACAACTCCTACCTAATAAGCAATAGTATACTCCAATTATCATACTGTACTTGATCAACTTTTTAGTTGTCACTATACCTTTTCTTTTGGTTTAATAGTTATATTCAAGTGCTTCAACACCAAAGGCCCTTCTTCGTAATACCTCAAGCAAGTGTCTTCGAATATTATCTCCCCTTTAGGAGGCCAAGTCTTCGGCGGAGTATCAGGAAGTGTCGGCTCGATTTCCCTCGGCAGCGACTTGTATTCCAAAACTCTCTCTACACTCATGAGTTGATTGGCCACTTCAGCCGATTGCCTGATACCCCATTGCAGCAAAAACGTGAGACCTGTCGCTTGGGAGATGGCTAGACCTACTTGTCCACTACGGTTGCCCAAATCTTAAATTTTTAGACGATTTTTATTCAACAAGATTGAATTTCTGAATGTACACACTTACAATCTTCGAATGCTAGGAAGGTGAATACCAGTACGCCCATGAACGATGAACAGAAAGCGTCTAAGTAGAATCCAAATGCACCGCTGGATACGAGAAACATGTACCAAGCGCTCGAGTGGTAATCTTGATGGTTATCGAATTCATTGGTTAGTATATTTTCCGCTCCGAAGGCTCTTATCGTCGTCAAACCTTCGATGGTCGCTTTGAGGTGAGTAAATACAGGACTCCTCACTAAAAAATACCAAATTAAATATTCGCAGTGAATCAGTAAGAGTCTTTAACTCACTCATTCCTTCTAATCTCTTTATATTTTTGGACGATTTAAGATACACGTGCCTCATTAAACCAAATATAACGCTTAAATTTACTATGAGTATCAAAAAGTATGGATTAACTATTACAATTAGCAGAAGAGCTCCGAACATTTGTAATAACATCTACAATAAAAAAATATTATAACAGATCATAAAATTTAGCGAACATGAGAGTACCTGTGTGGAATCCAGAATTGCCTTAGGTAATAACTCATCAATCGCTCCCATATCCTTCGAAAATCTATTCAAAATTCTACCACCGGGATTCGTATCGAAGAATCTCATCGTTGCTCCAACAACACTATCGTAAATAATGGCGTGTAGTTTTCTGGAGCTCACCATGCACACTTTGTAGTAAGCAAACGATCTGGTTCCAGCCGTAACGAAGAGCACCAACAGAATTCCGCTGTAAATGTACAAACAAACCTCCGTAGTCAAATCCAAACTAAACAGTCCAGTAGAGGTGTATTCCTTCGTGTGATTTCTGTATTCCTCTATGTTCACCCACTGGCTCACCCAGTAATCAACGCCGCTGACGCTTAATTGGGTGAGGATGAAGGAAAATGCGATTATCATCGTCACGAAGACTCCACCGCCGGCTGAAAGGTATTTGAACAGCAGCGAACCGCGCACTTTTCCCTTGGAGGATTCCTCTTGAAGATCCTTAACTTGAAAGACGTTTTCTTTCTCTTCGTCGATTTCTTCATCTTCGAACATTTCGTCGGTTAGGAGAGTGTCTGCTATGCTCACTTCACTGATGGCGCTAACCACTGAGTTTGTGCGATTCTGTCGGTTTCCAACAGAAGGAGATTAAATTGGATGGAGCTGGTTAAATGTTGATGGTTAGTACTTACTCTTTGTGAAGGTTGCTTTGGAAATGCCGGTTTGGTTGTTTTCGGTTTTTCTGTTTCGGTTGCTTCTGGATCTGCTGTTAAAAGTTTGGCGTACATGTTTTCACTGTTTGCAAGTGTATTGAAATTTCCTTCATCTTCTATGTGACCCTATTGGAATAATATGTAAATTATAAATAAAGATGTTCAGTTTAACTGACTTACGTTATTTAAAATTATAATATGGTCAGCGTTCTTCAGATAATGCACTTGATGGGTGACCAAAATCCTCGTTCTATTTGCCAGGTAACCGTTGATGCATTTGTCGTATAAATGTTTAGAAACGTGAATGTCGACTGCAGATAGGGGATCGTCGAGGAGGTAAATATCAGCTTCTCTGTATACAGCTCTTGCTAAATTAATTCTGGCTTTTTGACCACCGCTTAAAGATGCTCCTCTGTCGCCCACAATAGTCAAGTCGCCGTTGGCGAATTGTTTAAAATCAGTCTCCAAAGCACAAGCGTGAATTACTTCGTTGTAACGTTTTTTATCGTATTCTTCGCCAAAGAGGATGTTTTGTCGTACGGTAGCTGCAAAAACCCATGGTTCTTGTGAAGCGTAGGAAACTTGCCCACGTATCGCCATATCTCCTTTCACCACCACCAATTCACCTGCAGATATAAAAGACATTGTTAATTTGGCGATCTAAAAATGTGATAATTAGAAATTTACCTAGAATAGTCTGCAGTAAAGAACTTTTACCGCTACCAACAGGTCCAATAATCCCCAATAACTGTCCATCAGCTATATTCACATTGATATCTTTCAATGCATCGTCGCTATGGCTTATATTCCATTTTACCGTCAAATCTTTTAGCGTTATTATATCCTTCATATCGTCGATGCTTTTAACATTAGCGTAATTAAACGAATGAGTTTTAGTCGGATCGTATTCGTCATTCATCAGAAATTGGCGTATTCTCTTTATTGCCACGCTCAATTCAGCTATTTCTGATATTCCTCTTACGAACAGGGCTCCCATTGACATTGAAAGAACGTTGAAATAGGAACTGAACACGTAAACCTGTGGTTGTAAAATTAAATAAGTAATTGTAAACACCGCTATATTTTTTCTTACCCTCGAAGCTGTGATGGTTTCACCAGACAAAACCAATGTGAGTAAAGAACAGAACAAAGCCACTCTGGTGGTGAATAGATTAAATGTCATAAAAGTAGCTCTAACGTAAGAGGATTTAGTGATGATCTTAATTTCGGCCTTCCTGGCAAATCTGATGATTTTTTGGAAAGGAATCTCCCAAGCGTACATTTTAATTACTTGTATGCCAGATATAATTTCATCCATTAATCTCACTCTTTCGTCCGTTTTCATAGCAGTTTGCTTTCTATATTTTGCTGATAATTTACCAGTATAAGCTGAAACAATATTTTTCTTTTATAGTATTCATAATATTCATTTATTGTTTCAAATTTATGTACCTTGAAGTAGCACTATAGCAAACACAGCAAATATTCCAATGATACCGGCGTATCCAGCATCTCTGTACAAAAGAACCATTACAATTAAACCTGCGCACGGTCCTGCCCACATTTGATTCAGCAGGAAAGACACCAAATCGAATCTGCTAACATCATTTGATAGTAAATTCACTATTTTACCAGATGCTGTATCTCCCAAGGCTGTTTTGCTCAATTTCACCGCCTACAATTCCATCAAAATTAGTAATAATCTATGTATAAAGTAATCTCAACTGACCTTTCTGTATATAAGAGCGCAACAGGCAGCACGCATTCTCATCCCTGAATGGAAAGCACCCAACATGTATTGGTTCGATAGAAAAATCGAACAGAAATTAAACAGCACCATCAAACCACCATAGAGGTAGGCCCGTTCCTTGGGCACTTCCAGCTTTGGATTGAAGTAATCCAGCAGGAGCCCCAGGAGGTAGGGCTGGACGATTTTTAGCACTAAATCATTGACTCCTAATAGTAATCCTAAATAGAAATAGTCCAACCAAAACGTTTTGATCAAAGCCCTCAACAGGTTGGGCTCCGAATTGGTTTTTTTCGCTTTTTCTACTTGACAACTCCAATGTCTGCAATTTGAATTAAGTAATAGATTGGTTGAAGCTGCATGTAAAATGCACTTTGTTACTTACAGTTGTAATCTATCTCCTAAAAATTTGCTTCTGTCTTGTGCCAAAGGATTATACAAGTCTTCTACTTCTAAATTCTTGCTATATCCTTTTTTGAACATAGGCAAAGTGTATCTACAATAAGAGGAATCGGTAATATAAGTTTATTTATGTATATCAGCTGTAACTTACCCGAATAGTAAGACAGAAAGCGGGTTGGCTTTCTCCCTAGGATTAGGGTAATATTTTTCCTTCGCAATTTCCATTGTTCTTCTCCGCCTTTTAGCATAAATATTCGATTTTCATGTTTCTACAGGTGAATATGTAAAAATAAAACAGATATAATAATGTAAAAAATGACACGAACGATGTTGAACGAAAGGTACATACTTATTTTAATTATAATTTGATGGTAGATATGTTTGGATTTTTTTAATAACATACTATTAATTTTCTTTATTCAAAACTTACTAAATTGTACAATGATCGCTTAATAATATTCATTTTCTAGTAGTTAGCCTACGAATTGATTGTATAATAGCATGAGTGAAGCGAAGTCAATGCTATCTACAATATTTACAATCATTTGCATTTCATAATAGATAAATTATATGGATTGTAAACTTTTCTTAACAAATTTACCTGTCTTAATATTTAAATAATAGTTTTAACTGAACACTTATAACTGCATTCTGCATATAAATTGCGAATCTACTGGATTAACAAGCTTTGCTTACGGACTAAACCGTTCTGGAATGAATAGGCATCTTCAAATACTAATAAATGTGTGTAAATATAACCTTGACAATTTAATCGGTTAATGTTTTTACTATTACAGAAATTAAAAACTATAACTGGCATCGTGCGCAAACTATCCATTGAAATTATTGCAATGTTATCAAAGCAAAAGATATCCAATTCTTTATTGTATCTACTCGTACCGTTTTATATTCGCAATCCTAGATAAAATTTTAGAGGTATCAAACTCTGCTTATATTCATAGTATATCGTTTGGCTGGATGTTCTTCTTGTCTAGGCAGCTGCTAACTAAATAGACGGAGGCCATCTAGATGAGATTATTTTACCTGCGACGGCGTCCCGGCGTCACGGCGTCACAGCGTCACGGGGAATGCAAGTGGAAGGAGATTAGTTTTAGGATTTTAGACTTATGAAACTCAATTAATTGATTGTTCTATTATGTAATTATTTTTATCTTACCAATTATGAATAACAGTAGATATATGCGCAATTTGGTGGCATGACAACGCTATAATCACATTATATTAAACAGCAACAAACGATAAATGCCTAAGCATAATAATTCACCTAACCTATTTGTTGGTTGTGTTAAAAGTTGGGATAATTGCGCAGAAATGGGATAGGCAGGGTAGAGTTTGTACTAATTTGAACATTATTGAACTCTTCTTTCGTGTTTATAAACGGAAAATGATATATATCTTGTTATTTAATTTAAATTCAAATAAATAAATCTTTGGTAAAATTTAAATGTTAAAAAATTAAACGTTTAACTCACCTCTATCACATATAGCATAAATATGAATAAATATTAATAAATAAATGAAGTTGGCACACTGTTGAAAATTACTAGTATTCCTTTGAACTTATTTTATCAACTGTCTAGAAAAAATCAAAGGCAATAAATTTATAAAGTAATTGCAGTTGTTATCAAAAATCTTGTTGAAAACACTAGAGCGTAATAATTATAATCTTATCTAATTGGGGAGTTAGTTCGATTTTTTTTAACATTTGTCTAATTGTAAGATGTGTAAATATGTCTAACTTTAATTCCTATATATTTAAGCAAAGTCATCAAACACGTTTTTCTATTTTATTACAAATATTCTACAAGTCATTTTAAAATCAATGTTTTAATTTCTATCAGGCTTCTGGTACTTAAAAGTAAACTAAAACTAGAAAAATTAATCAAATTTTTTGTAATCATCTTGACAACATTTCCCAATTATTCGTGAAGTGTGGAGAATTTCTGGTAACTATCAGCAGCGATTTTTCTCAATTGTTCAGCGGAAGCTTTTCCAGTTTCCGCCACCATTTTGTAAAATATCCCATTGGGATTTTGGAGGAGCAGATGAGGATGATCGAATTCGACTACTTGACCAGCATCCATTACTAATACCTTATCGGAATCCATGATGGTGTTTAATCTATGAGCTACAGTTATTACAGAACAATCAACGAATTTTCTTCGGATGGTTTTCTGAATTAATGCATCAGTTCTAGAAGAAAAAATTAATGTATTTTCTTAAATAAAACCTTGTAAATGTACTTACTGTGGATCTACATTAGCTGTAGCTTCATCCAACATAAGAATTCTGTTCTGTTTGATGATAGCTCTAGCTAAGCAAATTAGTTGTCTTTGTCCAACACTGTAATTGGAGCCTCTATCCATCACTCTATTTTCTAATCTATTAATGATATTCGCGGGGTCTTTCAGCTCGACATCTTCAATGGCTTTGTACAAAACATCATCTTTGTACTCATCGAATGGATCGAGATTATATCTTAACGTTCCAGAGAACAAAACTGGATCTTGTGGAATAATCGAAATTTTCAAACGAAGGTCCTTTAAGCTGATATTCCTGGTGTCGATACCGTCGATTCTTATAGCACCTTCGATAGGAGCCAACCGGAATAATGCTTGAATTAAAGATGATTTACCTGCACCAGTTCGTCCAACAACTCCTACCTAATAAGCAATAGTATACCCCAATTATCATATTGTACTTGATCAATTTTTAAATTGTCACAATACCTTTTCTTTTGGTTTAATAGTTATATTCAAGTGCTTCAACACCAAAGGCCCTTCTTCGTAATACCTCAAGCAAGTGTCTTCGAATATTATCTCTCCTTTAGGTGGCCAAGTCTTCGGCGGAGTATCAGGACGTTTCGGCTCGATTTCCCTCGGCAGCGACTTGTATTCCAAAACTCTCTCTACGCTCATGAGTTGATTGGCCACTTCAGCCGATTGCCTGATGCCCCATTGCAACAAGCCGGTGAGAGCCGTCGCTTGGGTGATGGCCAGTCCGACTTGTCCACCTCCCATAGTCAATACTATAAAACAAAGCAAAATTATAAAACGTGTTTTATGAAAAATACCGTCTTAATCTTACTATCTTCGAACACCAGGAAGCTGAATACGAGGACGGTTATGAAGGATGCGCAGAAAGCGTCTAAGTAGAATCCAAAAGCCGAACTGGATACGAGAAACATGTGCCAAGCGCTCGAGTGGTAATCTTGATGGTTATCGAATTCATTGGTTAGTATATTTTCCGCTCCGAAGGCTCTTATCGTCGTCAAACCTTCGATGGTTGCTTTGAGGTGAGTAAATACAGGACTCCTCACTGAAAAATACCAAATTAAATATTCGCAGTGAATCACTAAGAGTCTTTAACTCACTCATTCCTTCTAATCTCTTTATATTTTTAGAGGATCTAAGGTAAACGTGTCTCATTAAACCGAATATAACACCCAAAACAGCCATAAGTACTAAAAAGTACGGATTAACAACCACAATCAACAGCAGTCCACCAAACATCGACAGCAACATCTGTAAACAGAAAAATAATTACCAACTATTGTAAACAAAAGTGTTAACATACCTGAGTTGAATCTAAAATAACTTTGGGCAAGACCTCATCAATTGCTCCCATATCCTTAGAAAATCTATTCAAAATTCTACCACCCGGATTCGTATCGAAGAATCTCATCGTTGCTCCAACAACGCTATCGTAAATAATGGCGTGTAGTTTTCTGGAGCTCACCATGCACACTTTGTAGTAAGCAAACGATCTGGTTCCAGCCAAAATGAAGAGCATAAGCAGAATTCCGCTGTAAATGTATAGACAAGTATCCGTGCTCCAATCCACTAATTTAATGCTGAGCGGTCCAGAGGCGATGTAGTCATCTGTGTGATTCCTGTATTCTTCAATGTTCACCCAATAGCTCACCCAGTAATCGACCCCGCTGACGCCCACTTGGGTCGCAAGGAACAAAAACACTATTATTGCGGCCGCAATTACTCCACTGCCAGCCGAAATGTATTTGAACAGCAGCGATCCGTGCACTTTTCCCCTGGACGTTTCCTCTTGGAGGTTCTTCACATCGAATTCTTCTTCTTTCTCGTTCTCTTCGGCTTGTCCTTCGTCATCGTACATGTTCTCGGATAGCAGAGCATCTGCTATGTTCACGTCGCTGATGAGACTCGCCATTGAGCCCCTGCGGCTCTGTGAATTATCCAATGTGGTTCACTAATAATATAGTCTAATATGATTAATACTTACTCTTTGGGACATTTGTCTTGCGTAAGTGGATTTGCTTTGTTTCTGTTTTTCCGCATCGGTCGCTTCCGGATCGCTGGTTAACAATTTGGCGTAGACGTTTTCACTTTTTGTTAACGAGGTGAAACTTCCTTCGTCTTCTATGCATCCCTATTAACAGAATGAATATGAGTATGAGAGAGTAACGGTAAATTATGTGCATGCAGGGTGAGATAACTTACATTATTTAGTATAATTATGTGGTCAGCGTTCTTCAAATAATGCACTTGATGGGTGACCAAAATCCTCGTTCTATTTGCCAGGTAACCGTTGATGCATTTATCGTATAAATGTTTAGAAACGTGAATGTCGACTGCTGATAGGGGATCGTCGAGGAGGTAAATATCAGCTTCTCTGTATACAGCTCTTGCTAAATTAATTCTGGCTTTTTGACCACCGCTTAAAGATGCTCCTCTGTCGCCCACAATAGTCAAGTCGCCGTTGGCGAATTGTTTAAAATCAGTCTCCAAAGCGCACGCGTGAATTACTTCGTTGTAACGTTTTTTATCGTATTCTTCGCCAAAGAGGATGTTTTGTCGTACGGTAGCTGCAAAAACCCATGGTTCTTGTGAGGCGTAGGAAACTTGTCCACGTATAGCCATATCTCCTTTCACCACCACCAATTCACCTGCAGATATAAAAGACATTGTTAATTTGGCGATCAAAAAATGCGATAATTAGAAATTTACCTAGAATAGTCTGCAGTAAAGAACTTTTACCGCTACCAACAGGTCCAATAATCCCCAATAACTGTCCATCAGCTATATTCACATTGATGTCTTTCAATGCATCGTCGCTATGGCTTATATTCCATTTTACCGTCAAATCTTTTAGCGTTATTATATCCTTCATATCGTCGATGCTTTTAACATTAGCGTAATTAAACGAATGAGTTTTAGTCGGATCGTATTCGTCATTCATCAGAAATTGGCGTATTCTCTTTATTGCCACGCTCAATTCAGCTATTTCTGATATTCCTCTCACGAACATAGCACCCATCGTCATCGAGAGAAGGTTGAAATAAGAACTAAACACGTAAACCTGCAATTGCAAAATGAAGTAAATAATTATAAACACCGCTATATTTTTTCTTACCCTCGAAGCTGTTATAATTTCACCCGATAAAACGAACGTGAGTAAAGAACAGAACAAGGCCACTCTGGTGGTGAATAGATTAAACGCCATAAAAGTAGCTCTCACGTAAGATGATTTAGTGATGATCTTAATTTCTGACCTCCTGGCTAATCTGACGATTTTTTGGAAAGGAATTTCCCAAGCGTACATTTTAATTACTTGTATTCCCGATATGATTTCGTCCATTAATCTCACTCTTTCGTCCGTCCTCATTGCTGTTTGATGCCTGTATTTCGCAGATAATTTACCAGTGTAAGCTAAAAAAATATGATTAGTATTTTGAGAATTATTATTTTGTCATTTACCTTGTAGCAGTACTATAGCAAACACAGCAAATATTCCAATGATACCGGCGTATCCAGCATCTCTGTACAAAAGAACCATTACAATTAAAGCTCCGCAAGGTCCTGCCCACATTTGATGCAGGAACAACGACACCAAATCGAATCTGCTAACGTCATTTGATAGTAAATTCACTATTTTACCGGACGCCGAATCTCCCAAAGCTGTTTTGCTCAATTTCACCGCCTACAATTCCTTCAAAATTATCAATGATCTATGTATAAAGCAATCTCGACTGACCTTTCTGTATATAAGAGCACAACAGGCGGCTCGCACTCTCATTCCTGCATGGAAAGCGCCCAACATGTATTGATTCGATAAGAAAATCGAGAGGAAATTAAACAATACTATTAAACCGGCGTAGAGGTAGGCCCGTTCCTTGGGCACTTCCAGCTCTGGATTGAAGTAATCTAGCAGGAGCCCTAAGAGGAAGGGCTGGACGATCTTCAGCCCCAAATCGTTCACACCTATCAATACTCCCAAATATAGGTAATCCCACCAAAATGTGTTGATCAAGGCCTTTAGTAGGCTGGGCTCCGAGTTCGTTTTCTTCGCCTTTTCTATTTGGTTATTCCAATAACTGTGAAATACAAATGGAATGCACACCGTAAATTTATTTCATAAAAGTATACAAAATATATTAAAGAGTGAATAAATAAAATAAATATACTTGCAGTTGCAATTTGTTTCCTAAAAACTGACTCCTGTCTGCTGCCAGAGGATTATATAAATCTTCTACTTCTAAATTTTTACTGTATCCTTTTTTAAACATCGGTAAAGCATACCTAAAACGAAGAAACTATTAATAACAGAGGTTTGTTTCGTGTAAATCAGCTATAACTTACCCGAATAGTAAAACAGAAAGCGGGTTAGCTTTCTCCCTAGGATTAGGGTAATATTTTTCCTTCGCAATTTCCATAGTGTGTATTCGATGTTTATTTCTATGTTATATTTATTTCATGTTCCTGCAAGCGAATTTATACGTTGGTTTTGAATGAAATTTCGCTTATCAAATTACAACAAAATTCAAGTATTGTAAATTTAAACAATGATTAACGTGTTGATTATCACTGAAAATATGTTTATAGGTAACGCAAAATGATAGAACTATGCGATAATATCGAGATGTTAAATGTACCGACACTATACACAGTCCAATTAAGCTAAATAATATTTAAATTTGATCTTATGATCTATAATTATCCGTTAATTTCGTTCATAAATACGCAAAGAAATGCTTTACTCACTTAAAAAACAATCTTTCCTTAAAAGTTACACCTTTTCATTACTACTTTATTAATAATAACAATTTCATTTCCTTCTTGAATGAGAGGAATTTTTGTATCCACATAAAAGCACGCGATAAGATAGCTAAACTGTAACATTTGCTAACTAATTACACTGTTTTATAGAACCTTGCAAGTTTTAGCGTTGCAATATAAATGCGTATGTTAACGTTTATTGTTTATAACCTTGCCAGTTTTCTGATAGTTTATATTGATACACAAATACACGGTCTGAGGTTTGTACTGATTGATATCGGAAGGAATATCTACTAATCAGTTACCACAAAATTATGATAACTATGATTTTAAACAATATGAATGAATTTCTATGTGGGATTATTTGAGCGAGGTCCTAATGAAAGAGTTCAGCAAATTTATTTGCTTTATGAATTAAGATGGTTTAAAATGTTTAGATTACAACGAAATAATTTTTAAAAGCCATTTACGATTATTAAAAATTGTAAGTCATTCGTTTATTAAAAGAGCTATTTAAAAAATGATTTATTTAAATTTACTCACACTGATAAACTGAGAATTAATAATAGATAGGTAGGTATTATCAACGTGCAATTATTACTTAATCATTTAGCTTTTTAATTTATACTATAGTACCTACTTCATAGTAGTGAATACTATTCACCCATCATGGTAGGATGCTAATTATGAATATGTGATTTTTTTACTTATCTAGGTATCCTGTCTATTTGGAAGTAAATTAAATAAATTAAAATCATCAGAAAACACAGCGCTGTCATTATTACATAAAAGTACATAATTACTAATTATCCTTGAAACAAATTCCCGTTGCAAAAACACATTTTAGAACTAATAAATTGCGATGGAATTAATTAAAAACAATGAATCGGTAGTTTAATCACTAATTCCTAGTGTAGTATGTACTATACTTTTTCTACGACATAAGAATTGCATTGAAAGGATTAAGATATTTTTTATATTTTTTCATAAAATCAGTTAATCACTAATAAAATTATTTAACAAATCACTCAAGCTATATTATATAATTAAACCAAATATAATATATTAGTTTATCTTACCTTTTACGCGATGATTGATACACTATTATCACAGCGGTCGTTACTTATTTTCCTTTGAATAATTGAATGTCAAAAAATTCATAAGTAATATTTTATAAAGTTATTACTTAATTACTTTTCTTATCAAAATCTAGATAAAAATAGGACAAATGGGACTGTTGTATCTTATCTAATTATGTTACCTCTATTTGATGAGGAGTTTTTTCTACAATATTGTTCCTTCTACAAATAAGACTTATCATTCGCAAGAATTTTATTTTCAAACACCACTTAATTGATACCGATGTGGATACAAGTCCAATCTCCGATCATCAATTAGTATTAAACAGATAGTATTAAGTAGTAGTCTTATTTCACTAAATTGCACAATAAATTCCAGAACAGTCATGTTTTTTATACAATTTCCTTAAATAAATAAAATTATAGTTTCATGTACAATTGTGTTTTCGAATTATTAACGATAGGTAAAACGTATGAAGACCTTGATGAATTCGCTAAGAAAATATCGTAAACGAGATAATTCGTTCGTTTAAGTAAAGAATCTGCAAAAAGGTAAATATGAAAGTATTTTTATGAAACTAGAATAAAAGGAATATAAACATTTATTAATTCAATTTTATGTAACATAGAATATTTATACATTCACACTACAAATCGTAAAAAATATAAGTCTATTTACAAGTAGGTAAAATTTATAAAAAAATACCTTATTGACATGTTAGTTTAATTTCACAACTTCCCAAAAAATTCGAAAACATATTTACTATAAAAATATTTGGCATTTGATTTCAAACATCCATTACACTTTTTTAATCTCTTAAAGTACAAAAATGAATTAAGTACCATCGTGAAATCCTGGAAGACAATCCATATGATAATATAAAACAGTTTCAATTGATCACTTTGTAAATATTTAAAACATTCTGATAAAATATACTACACTAAAAAAATATTTTACGTTTTACTCGAATTTTTCCAAGTCATCTATAGATAATTTCTTACGTTTACCCCTTGGAGCAGCCAAATATCAAAGTCTATCAAATAGCTACACAATCAGTCAACAAATACTAATCTCACCAAACGATGATTCCTCAGTCGAATTAAAAAACCTCTACGACCTCTAAAAATCTCGCATAAATTCGTCTAGAAACCGATACAAAAAAAAAATCATTCGGGAAGCGGCGGATGTCTTTGATAACTCTCCTTGGCAATTTTCCTCAACTGCTCGCTCAGGCTCCTACCAGCCTCTGCAACCATTTTACAAAACACCCCGTTGGGGTTCTGCAGGAGAACGTGCGGGTGATCGTACTCCACCACAGTACCCGAGTCCATCACCATCACCTTATCAGAATCCATGATGGTGTTCAGCCTGTGAGCCACCGTCAACACCGTACAATCAGCGAATTTCTTCCTGATCGTCTTCTGGATCAAAGCATCAGTCCTGAAAACAAACAACAATCAAACACACAACACTCCAAACTTCCAAACAACCTACTGAGGATCGACGTTAGCTGTAGCTTCGTCCAACATCAGGATTTTATTGTTCCTTATGATAGCTCTGGCCAGGCAGATGAGCTGCCTCTGACCCACGCTGTAGTTGCTGCCTCTGTCCATGACCCTGTTCTCCAATCGGTTGATGATGTTCGAAGGGTCCTTCAGCTCGACCTCTTCGAGCGCTTTGTACAACACCTGATCGTTGTACTCGTCGAATGGGTCCAAATTGTAGCGCAGCGAGCCCGAGAAGAGGACCGGATCCTGCGGAATGATGGATATTTTCGAGCGCAGGTCCTCCAGGGCGAGGTTCTTGGTGTCGACGTCGTCGATTCTGATGGCACCTTCCACGTTGGCTAATCGGAACAGGGCCGATATTAGGGAGGATTTTCCCGCTCCGGTTCTCCCCACGATGCCGACCTACAAACGTTTCAAAACGAGTTACATGCTAGTAATAATCAAGCGGTACTTCGTTACTTACTTTGTCGTTTGGTTTGATAGTTAAGTTCAAATTTTTTAAAGTCAACGGGCCGTTTTCGACGTACTTCAGCCCCATGTTATCGAACACGATTTGGCCCTTGTCCGGCCAGTTTTTGGACGGTTTGGTGGGCACTTCGGGTTGATTTTCGGCCGGTAAATTCCGGTACTCGAGCACCCTCTCGGCGCTCATTAGTTGATTCGTCACTTCCGCCGACTGTCTGATTCCCCACTGCACGATGCCGGTGAGAGAAATGGCTTGGGTGATGGCCAGGCCGACTTCTCCTCCGCTCATGCCCATTTCTAAAAATCGAGGAATTTGTAGAGTGTTACGCAAGAGAGGAGTAGGCGCACTTACGTCCTCCTAACATGAGGAAACTGAAGGTTATCAGGCTGACGAAGATGAAGCAGAAAACGTCCAGGTAGAATCCGAAGGCGGAGCTGGCGGAGATGTACATGAACCAGGCGCTGGTGTGGGAATCCTGGTGCTTGTCGAATTCCGCCATCAGGATTTTCTGAGCGCCGAACGATCTGATGGTAGTCAAACCTTGAAGGGTCGCATTGAGATGGGTGAACACTGGACTCCTCACTGGAAACGATTAACAATTTCGATCAAACGCTCAATAAGCGCGTCGTTAATATTAATACTTACTCATTCCTTCCAATCTTTTGATATTCTTGGAGGATTTCAGATAAACATGTCTTAAAATTAAGAATAGAACGCCTACAATGACTATCAAAACTATGAAATAATAATTGACAATTGCTACCAGGACTATCGAGCCCACCATAATTAACAGAATCTACGAGAAATAAAAATAAATATAAATAAAATCCGTTCGCTCGTTCGAAAAACCATTACCTGTCCGGAATCCAAAATGGCCTTCGGCAACCACTCGTCCACCGACCCAATGTCTTTGGAAAACCGGTTCAGGATCCTACCGCTCGGATTCGTATCGAAGAACCTCATCGGCGCCGCCAGAACGCTCTTGAACATGATGTCGTGCAATTTCTGCGAACTCCTCATCGCCAGCTTGTAAAACAGCATCGATCTGCTGAACGCCACGCACCACAGGCACACCAAACCGCCTGCGAAGATACCAAAAAGTCTAAATAACTCATTCAAATCCACGGACCTTCAATCATGGACCCATATAGATCAAGGATCGTGGATCTATGGACCAATAATCATAGGTTCTGAACCTTAAAACATATAAGCTATGGAGCTCCGGACAATGATTCATAGACTCCAGATCATAAACCGTAGGTTCTGAATCCTAAATCATAAGCTCCGACGATGACAGCCTCATAAACCTTCAACCATGGGTCAATAAACCTTGAATAATCGACCTATAGACCTAGATCCAATGATCTTAAACCACTGACATGTAGTAGGTGCATTAATTTACCTGAATAAATGTACAAGCAAGTATCCGTGGACCAATCGACCGTGGACGTGAAACTGACCGACTCGTTGGTGTCGTTGTGGGCGAGCGAGTACTTTCTGGATTCCTCGATGTTGACCCAGCAGCTGACGAAGTAGTCGAGAGCGCTGGCCGTGACTTGGGCGAGAAGGTAGAGAACGAGGACGAAGACGACGAAGCAGGCGTTGCCGCCTTGGTTGAGGTACTGCCAAAGGAGCGAGCCCTGCACCTTGCCCTTGGAGGATTCCTCCTGCAGATCGATGAGTTTCACTTGGTGGTTCTCGTCGTCGTCGTCGGAGAGGTTGGATTCCTTGAGGAGCTCCTCCGGAATGCTGAGTTCGCTGACGGCGCTGGCCAACGACGATTGCCTGCTCTGGAAACGAAGGAATGTTTGATTAGAGTTTGCGTATAATTAGGGGAAGATTGGATTACTTACAGCGACTGATCGTTTTCGGCTGATTTTTGTAACTTCCAGCAGTTTTTGCTTTTCTTCTTCGGCCATTTCTGGTTCTGTTGTTAGCAATTTGGCGTATATGTTATCGCTCGATGAGAGTTCTGTAAAGGAACCTTCGCGTTCTATAGCACCCTAAAAAACCTTTGATTTTAATATACAGCACAAAAGAAATATAAAAATAGCTACATACATTATTTAATATAACAATATGATCAGCATCTTTCAAAAGATGCACTTGATGCGTGACGAGAATCCTAGTTTTCTTCGCCAAAAACCCATTAATGCACTCATCGTACAAATGCTTGGAAACGTGTATATCCACAGCAGATAGAGGATCATCGAGCAAGTAAATATCAGCATCCCGATAGAGCGCTCTAGCAAGATTAATCCTGGCCTTCTGTCCGCCGCTCAGCGAAGCCCCTCGTTCGCCCACAATGGTCAAATCGCCCTGGGCGAACTGCTTGAAATCCTTCTCCAGCGCGCACGCCTTCACCACCTCGTTGTACCGCTTCTTGTCGAAGGAGGCGCCGAAGGTGATGTTCTGGCGCATCGTGGCGGCGAACACCCACGGCTCCTGTGAGGCGTACGAGATGGAGCCGCCGACCTCGATGCAGCCCGCCTTCACCTCGAGCTCGCCCAGGATGGTCTGCAGCAGGGAGCTCTTGCCGGCGCCCACCGGCCCGATGACGCCGACCAGCTTCCCTTTGCTGGCGTCGAAGTTGACCTGGCGCAGGGCGTCCTCCTTCGAGTCGGGGCTCCACTTCACCGTGAGGTTCTTCAGGCTGATCAGCATCTTGTCGAAGAAGATCTTGTCGTTGTTGTTTTGGGTTTTCACCACGGCTCGGTACTCGTCGCTCACCAGGAAGCCCTGAACGCGGCGAATGGCCACCAGGAGCTCGGCTATTTCGGAGAAGCCGCGCACGAACATCGCCGACATCGATTGGGAGAGGACGTTGAAGTAGGACATGAACACAAACACCTTTAGAAAAAACGAAACGCTATGTGAATAATGAATGAAGCTTGTGGATAGCTCACTTTTGTCGCTGTAATTTCTTGATCGGTCAGCACCATCGTCAGGAGAGTGGCGAAAAGGGCGATTCTGGTGGTGAAGAGATTGAATGTCATGAACAAGCCCCTGACGTACGACGATTTGGTTATGATTTTCAATTCCGCTTTCCTCGCCAGGTTGATTATTTTTTGAAACGGTTTTTCCCAGGCGTACATTTTGATGACTTGCACTCCGGAGATTACTTCGTCGGTGAGCCTCACTCTTTCGTCGGTTTTCATAGCCGTTTGTTTCCTGTAGATGGCCGATAACTTGCCGGTGTAAGCTGAAAGAAAGGCGAATAATCTAGGCGAACTTTACAATTGTTTTAGGGAAACTTACATTGCAACGGAACTACCAGGAAAACCGTGAGTATTCCCAGAACTCCCGCGTAACTGGCCTCCTTGTAGAGGAAGTACATGATGAATAAAGCGCTAGCCGGAGCCACCCACATGTGGTGAATAAATATCGAAACTATATCGAATCGACTGACATCGTTCGATAATAGATTGACTATTTTTCCGGAGGCAGTTTCTCCTAATGCGGTCTTGCTCAGTTTAATCGCCTGAAAAATAGCGGTCGTTCGTTTAAAGCAGGGCCGTATATTTCTAAGGTTTGGAAACATAAGTCGAAAAATGTCCCGTTATTTGAGGATAAGAGGGTTCCTAAAACGGCCGCTAGGAGGCGATGTTGTAAAGGACCATGGTTGTTTGCGTACGAATTATATAGAATTGACATTAAGAAAGGTTTTATTCAAACTAAAAATAGATACAAAATATAAAAATATACTTAAATCAGCGCTGGTTTTGTTGTTAACATCTTGCCTCACATATACATATCTTCGGTTAAAATATTTCTCCATTTTCTCCTCAAAATGTCAAAAAAAAAACTTTTTGAAGTTTTGACAGCTCGAAATGTCGTTTCACGCAACCGCGATTTATATATAGCGCGACGCTGATTGGCTGAGATAAGTTGGTTCTCCGATCATTCGCCACGGTGCGGCGCAAAAGTGAAGCTCAAAAAGTCTTCAAATAACGGGACACATTCTCTAATGCTTAAGAATAAGCAGTTTCCAGACTTTAGAAATATAGGGTGGTAGGTTAAAGTATTTCTCCATTTTCTTCTCGAAACGTCAAAAAAAACTTTTTGAAGTTTTGACAGCTCGAACTGTCGTTTCACACAACTGTCTTTTTCACACAACTGTCCTTTCACACAAAAGCTCAAAAAGTCTTCAAATAACGGGACAAGTAGGCGGTTTCCGGACCTTAGAAATATAGGACCATGGTTTAAAGTGACGGGACATCCTCTACAACAGCTTACCTTTCGGTAGATAAGCGCGCAAACGGCCGCCCTAACCCTCATTCCGTAGTGGAAAGCGTTCATGATGTACTGGTTGATCAGGAGCGCGGTGAATCCGTTGAGAGCGACGATGCCGCCCGCGTACCAGAGCGCCTCGCTCTTCGTGGTCGTCGTGAACGGCTTGAAATAGGTCAACAAACGGCCCAGCATGATGGGCTGTATGAGTTGCAGGAACAAATTATTCACCGTCAAAATGACGCCGAGCTGGAGGTATTCCGGCCAAAACGTGGCGATCAGCGTTCGCAGGAGGCTCGGCTTCTTTTTCGTTTTGCCGCATTTCGTTAAGTGGCTATTCCAATTTCTGAAACGAAACGAACGTTGGGACGTCTAACGTAAATAGAAAATGAAATATCTACAGAACGGTTCGGTTTCATTAATTATACACGTTACAACTTCTAAGCATGGATTTTAAACAATATTTCACACCACTCTAGTAGGCTGTCTTTCTTTAGACAACTTCAATTAGACACTTATAAAGGAAAAAGAAAGAGTGACATTATGTCATTGCAACTTTTCACTCTGACAGCTGTCATTTTAGCAATCTTTCTTTGTTCAACTCATAGAAATGCCCGTGTTGTAATCGCGAATGAAAAACGGGACTTTAAAAAATTCGCTTTAACGACACTTCTTCAGGGCGCGTGAAAAGTTCGAATGATAACCGCCATTACGCCGGTTTCGATATAAATCAGCAACTACCTGACGCGTTAATGATCTAATAATCTCGCGTCGTGCTCGGCGGGTAAAATCTGCAATCATCGGCCAAGATCTTGACACAGTTTCCGAGCGATTACTTATGAAATTAAATGGAACGGACAGCAGATTTGTACCGGCGATTAAACCGCTTATCCAATGTCGAGGATTTCCACTGAAATTTTAAGAGATTTCGAGAGATTGAAGCTTTGTATTTCTTTTTTTAAGGCTCAAGTAGCTAAGCTGTGTATTTGTCAATTCTACCAACCAATTTAAATTAGTAGTAAATACGCATTGTTCTTAGGATGCGATGGAAAAGATTACACGTTTCTCCGAAAAATATCTGAATAAAATAATCGTACTAATAAATTATCGAGTGAGCAAAAATTAATTGTTTAGTTTAGGCTATGATTGTGTGCAGAAAAATGTGCAGAGTCGCTGCAAGATGCCTCTCCAAGTCCACGTGCTGTGCATCGAAACGCTGCGTAATAAAAAGGTAAACAGTTATTTATCTAACGACCATTAGATAAAACGAGCAGCTGGTGCGGCAATTAAAATTAATGGTAATTTCGATTGTGCTTACTTCTCTAATCTATCTCCGAGGGTTTGGCTCCTGTCGCTTTGGATTGGGTTGTACAAGTCGTCCACGTCTAAGGTTTTGTGGTAGCCTTTTTTGAACAATTCTATGGTGTACCTAAAAAATAAATGTCAAAATTATTATCGATTATCTATCGTACTCTTAACAGTCAATTAAAGCAGGCTTTCGAATGTGGAAATTACGAAATTACGAGCGCCCAATCTCCTAAAAAAATACAACAGATCTTAAATAAACACAAAAGGTTTGGGAACAGATGCGAATCTGCCAAGTTACCAAACACCCTAGTGAAATATTTCTGAAATATACGTATGAGTAGATTTACAAATGTGTTAAGGCACATTTGTTTTCCTCATCAGCGGATACACATGTGTGGAAATCATATCGTTTTACACGTTGTCACCACGAAAAAAAACTTTATAATTCCCCAACTATAAATTCGCAATGATAAATACATTTATTTATCTGCATTAGGTAGAATTCTAGAAGAAAGCAAGATTTTTATCAGAGTGAAGGAGATTTACGAATATTTAATGGAGGCGTTAAGACGCCCTTGACTCGATGCGATGGGGTACGTAACCTTTTTATCCCTTGTCAAATAAACGAAAAATACTTTCACAAAGGTACTAATCTTATCTGGCTAAGCTTTCGGACGTGAAGAAGGCAAAACGAGAGAAATGGTTTTTTAAACTCGTGATTTATACCTTCCCCGGAGCAGATCGTGTTCTGTGCGGTATGTATACTCGCTGCATTATTCGGAAGTTTACAGAGATTAAATGAAATGCTAATGAATGGGTTTTAATTTTGGGTCGAAATCTTTTTTTACACGTTTATTCGATTCGTTAAAAATTCTTAAATCTTAATCAACGAGTGAACCAGTTTTAACCTGTTAACTTGGCGAATTTTAATTAATTCTCTATTGATGTTAATTTGTTGAATGAGTGAAGAGGTATTCACTAAACTATCCTTAAGTGGAATAGTAATTAGTACATTTCGATGGTAATTAAGTGAAATTGATAAGAAAAGATAATTTACTATTTCTATATTTAGTATTTACAAATGTGTACGGGTAAAACAATTATATTCCTATACATTTAAATATACCGACTCTAGGAATGGTTGATAAATGGGGCGTTAATGAAAACTTAACGGTTATATCATAAATACTTTGAGGAAGTTGCTAGAAAACGAATATTTCAATACCGAAATTAATTGCCATAATAAACAAAATTGGATAATTTACACTTTCCTATTTATACGTAGATATATTCTAACACCTACTTATGCAACACATGTTTGGGTAATTTGTAATTTCAAACAGCGTTGACTGCCAAATAATTTACACATTTTCGAATGTTATTTCTTCTGCAACCCGCACAGACTAGCATTAATGGTAACATTACAGTATTTTTCTAGGAAATTCATTATTTATATGTATAAGTAAAATACGAGAGAAATAACTGTAGACCATAGACCATAGTTAATAGGTCTATGCTGTAGACGTACTCTGCGCACTTTTAACGTTTGCAGCTATTTATATCGGTCTGTAAGGCTTTTTTTTAAATATCGAATATGTGAATTAGAGCTCGGCAATTTCAAGGAACTGATAACTCATTATTAAAGTGTCTTCTCAAACGTAGAGTTTCTTTAATTTATGGTAATGAACGTGTGCGTTACCATACAATTTTTAAATCGTAAAAACCATAATTGCCTCAAACCTTAAACCAAACCGAACGTAACAAATTGAAGTCGCCCGTAACCCATCATTTTGTGATAATTTGTTGGATTATAAATAAACTAATTAGGCGCAGGTAGGTAAAATTTTCGTTTGTTTAACACATCGCTTTCGTATTTTCAAGGTTCAGAAAATGGATTTTTATTTTTAGTCGCAATTGTTTACTGCATTATTTTTCCACCTCTTACTTGATCTTGACCTACTAGCAGTTTAAAGTAAAGTTGTATAAAGCAAATTTTCTAAAAAAAAGTTCCGTAACAATCTCTACAGAAGCGGAATTATCTACGATTTTACACTAACAATTTTAATACCTGGTTATATTTGGAGAGACAGATGCGCTTCCGCTTTGAAAAATACCTACTTTACTGATATAATCCTATTAACTGGGCAAATTGGCCGGAAGGGCTCCAATGAATATTAAAAAAAATACAATGAGTTGTAGGTTTATTGTTGCGAGGGATCCCCCAGAAACTGTATCTTCAAATTTGCACGCTTTCGAAATTTTGTATCCCTTTGTCATCATTTAATCCATTTAGAAAACTGATTAGAATAGTAACATAGCAATTACCCTTCGGTCCATTGTGTTGGTAACACTGATTCAATCAATCAATCAACTGCAGCGTTGCCAACCTCTCGAAAAAAAAGCTCCAATTCATTATGATCATCCGATACTAACATAACTTTGGGTGTAACCATTCATCAAATTTGAGGAATTAAATCGAATTAAATCAAATTCGAAAAGGACATTCGAATTGATAGTACATGTGCAGTGCCATCCATCTTATAGTGAATGACCATTTTATCGACCGATAAGGATGGCACTTTAATCTATGAAACGAACTTTTAAAATATTAATAGCTTATCTAATGATGCTATAAAGGAATTAACTATTATATCATCGGTTAATGTTAGTATAATAGAAGAAGAACCAACTTTACATAATTTTAAACTCCAATGTAATTGAACCCGAACTCGAACTGCATTTGTATAAATATTTAACACACCAGCTCAAATACAAATTGTATCTTAAGTAGTGCGCGTTAGAAACAAATAAGTGACTTTTAATTTACTCGTTGTCACTCATAAAAATTTATTAAACAGCCTCGCAGTTTACCGACGAACCGCTGTTATTACAATGCAACAATAAATAACGAAATTTTGAGATCAAAGGGTTTCGTCCTGGCGGTATTTATGGAAGAGAAATTGCACCTCAGCGTAGAAGCTCTTTGAAGGCGCTCGGCGATTATTAACAAACATATGGCCTTTTTTTTTTCGTTTCGGTCCGTTTAGACGAGAAGCCTTGAAAAGAGTGCGTGCCTAGACAGACGAAGAGGAGTTTTTAAAAGGCACCTGACAAAACAAAAGATGGTTTGTGTTAATATACGGTCAATTGGAAATTGGACGGTTCTGTAAACAGAGCATCGATTCCACGTTATTAATCAGAGGAATGATTAAATCCAGGTTCTCTCTGTTTCAAAATGGATATACCAATATTTTTGAATTCTACAGACCGATATATCATCCATTTTACAAGGTGAACTTTACAAGAACCTACATACAATATGAGAAGCCTCAACTTCTTAAACAATCAACCCTCAATGTCCCCAAGAGAATTTTAGAGCATTTTTCAAGTAAAAACAAGACTTTTATTTCTATTAAACATGTGTCTTCAATTCCTTTCATTCGGAGTGACAAATTCCAAAGTTTCGTGGAATCCGGGACTTTCAAGAACAAAAATAAAAGCTTAAAGTTGATATTCAACAAGATAGCGAAATGTCTCAACTTTAGTTAATCCTGTTAGGTAAGTGGAATTCTAATGTCTACTAATGCATAGTAAAGTAGTATTTTTATTATTCGTCTGTTGTTTCAGTGTGGCACAATTAGTGAAATTTATTGCCTGAAGATGCGTTTACTTGAAATTACACTAATCAGATGTGTTATTTTTTTGTAGAACATCAAATTAAAGTGTCAGCATTGTGGCAGTTTATTTTGGTTTTCTGATGTGTTTTTTTAGGCAATTCCTTCTTTCATTATATTTTTCCATTACGCGTGACTTTCCGAGAATTTATCACAATTCCTTATACTTTACATATGCGCATTAAACAGTCACTTAAAGTGTTAAATTTATGCAAGTGTCAATAAACTGTAAGCGTACTTTTTTTTTAACTTTTTACGGTTATTTTATCGTTTTCTTAATGAAACGGCTGAAAATACGAATTCCTCGGGGGGATTTTTAAATCGAAAATCCTTTTCTTTCGACACATTCGAGTTGCATCTTTTTAAAATTTATTTGGAACGATGCCACACCGAGCTTAATTGGTGCTTATGTATGCACTTACTTTGTTTTCAATCCAGACTTTTCCTACTTTTTTAAGTTCTTTTTCGCGACAGACGAATGCTTGAAATCGATATTTTTGAACTATAAAAATGTTACTAGAAGAATCGATTAATCATCTTCAGTAGATAAGTAGAATGTTGTGTAATTGTTGCAATTAAATTATAATACTTACGTAAAAAATAAAACACTGAACGCGTTCGCTCGATCCCTAGGATTGGGATTGTTGATTTCCTTTCCTATATCCATATTTTTTCATCTATCGATTGCACTACACGAATAATTCATTCAAATGCATTTCATTGTACCATCACCAAGCACTCACTGGCCCGTTCTGGAGCTGTCTTTTATACATTTAGAAATCGTTAGTGCGATTTAATTAATATTCATCTAATCGAGTTCTGCGTATTCACTTCAAAATCTCGCTCCGGAAAATCCCAAAAATATCGTCACCCACACGAATACAGCAATCTGAAACAAAGAGATTAGAAGGTAAAATAAAATAAATATGCAGAAAAAGTTTGTTATTTTCTTTAGTAATAACATTGGTTTATCGAACGGATGTTAATTGGACGCAAAAGGGATTATACACTTTAATCCAATAGGTAAATTGGGCGCGGAGTCTCCGAAAAATAACCACAAATAATTCTTTTGATGATTGAGAATCTACTCTGATTTTACTCTGAATCTATTCTACTTTGAATCTACTCTACTTTAAATCTACTCTACTCTGAATCTATTTTAGGTACTTTGAGTTTACTCTAGTCTGAATCTATTCTTCTCTGAATCTACTATATTCTGAATCTACTCACGCCAAAAATTTTCAATTCCTTTTAATTTCGCTCGAAAGTCTTTTGGCAAATTAAAATAGCAAACAAATGGGCTTTAGTGCTCGGCGAACTTTCGCGTATAAAAATTTTCGAAGCTAGTTCTCCCGTTCGATTGCTATTTCTAACTGACCTGAATGCGTAACCGGAAGAGCAGAAACGTTTAAAATACATATCATAGGCGCTAAATCGCCGATATTTAAGAGCAATTAATTGGATATTATTAATTTTCGCATAATTAATTTTTCGTTAACGACATGCAAACATGCGCAAGATGTACCGTTCGTCATTATTTAAAATAAACCAGCTCTCGATCGTCCACTGTCAACGTTAAAGAGACCAAAAAACCATGTTAAGTACAAGGAAAATAAGCTTGTAACATGATCGACCTGATCACTTATCACTAATAACCATATTCTTTTAAGGTAAACACCGGATAACGAGCGCCTTGGATAAATCAGAAACGGCGGTTTTGAAATTCAATTTAGTCCGATGGCGATTAAACGTCGAGGAAAATTTGTTAAATCAATAAAAAAAGCTAACTGCATAAGTACTCAATTTGAATATGTTTAATTTCTACATACCTGCTTGTATAAATAAGCTCCTCAATGGGCTGTAGATTCAACGAAATTAATAACTTTTTAGAGTACAATACAACTGCTTGTGTACACAATCGGGGTCTCTTCTATTGAATGAATTCAACCACCCATGCAGTTAACCTCCAACAATTAATAAACCAATGGAGCATTTATTCTTAACGAAATTGTTTCGTCGGGTCAATTAGTATGAATTACTGACAAAAAACAAACTAATAAGCATCGTACGATCATTTCGTGTTATGTAATTTTTTTAATAAACATCATGTATGTTTAATTTTGCGACCGGTAAACGTTTCAATTTTGTAAACAGCTAATGATGGTACTTGAGCGAATGTTGCTGCAAATCGAAAAATAATCATTTTAATTAGTACCAATTAAACTTGAAATATTTTATATAAAGGCTTGCTTACAGATGAAAATGAATAGCCAAAACCACCAAGGTCATGTGCGGAAAATCTAATATGTTATTCCTATCGATTTATTTAACTAGAATTTAAAATCAAAGTAGGTACATAATTTTTGAATCAAGATTTGATAGTCGCCCTGTATGATAATACTGGTAATAAATATTATAAATGAACTATGGATGTTATTTTAAGAAAAACTCACTTAGTCTACATCTACAGACTTTTAAGTGCAGTGTAATAACCTCTTTGGAAAGCTAAAATTAACGTTATGTCTTATGAATGTCATGAAAATTTATTATTTTGAATAATGGCGAACGGTTTGTGATTATTACGAATATACGGATGTTTATTATCTTTCATTTGTATGTCTGGAAAAGACGGCGACTGTACTAACAAGTTTTTCCTTTATTGTTTGATACCTGCAGTTTGATTTACTGAATGTAATTTTTGGTTATTTTTATTCGTGCGTTTCAAAACGTATCTACTGTTATTATGGCACGTTTGTATAATAATAATAATAATAATACACATGTTACTTCCGTTCGTTCCACAATGATATAATTACAGATATTAAAAAAAATCCAAAAAAGTTTTGTCATTCAATTATCGATAGGTTCATATACAAATAAATATTATCCCAAGGTAATTTACTAAAGATACAGATAATATTATCTGTTGTTATGAATTTACAATGAATCTTAACGATACAGGAACCATCGAAAATGGGTTAATTGTTATTCAAAACATTTTAAAGATTTAATAGATAGGAAATACGGCTATTACAGTAAACCTTGAATTTGACAAATTTTAATTCATTGAAATTAATGTAGCTCGATTATATTTTTACCGACACAATTAAAAATATAATGATGTAGTATAGATAAAATTACCAATTAACGAATTTTCCATAGAAACAAGTACATACCTGTAAGGACGTATCGACTAAAATTTACGATCATAATTCTACAGTATCGCTTATAATAAATTCACCGATTAATCATATTTATTTTATCTTTATTGGGCATAACACATAGTTTAAATGATTGCATAATATTTCTATTCGGTGGCTGAACATGAACGGCATTCCGAAAACACTAGCTTGTGCACCATTTTTATCAACTGTAATCACGTTATTCACAAAATTTTACAAATGCAGATTGTAAAAAAAAATGTAAAATGAGGAGTATTTGGCGCAATTTTAGCCAAATAAAAGCTATAGGTGTAGATAGAAATTATTAACTTTAAAATTATTAGGTATTAGCAGTTATTAGCTTTAAAAGTATTTAAAAAATTGCATGTAAATTGCAAACTTTTTCACGTTACTCGAATAGCCTATTACGTATTTTGTATAATTATTTAACAGTCTGGGTCTGGAAAATAATTTCTAAAAATAACATTGCATATATCTACAATCTACCAAATTGTACAGACACATATCCTCATTTATCCTCAGTATAAAATATACATAAAACCAAATTTATTCGTAAAACTATCATTGTACTATCGGCGGATAAAAAACAAAGCGAACGAAAAAATCATTTTTCGAAATTAAACGTCTCCGACTGTAATAACCGAAATGCCTTTTTACCGTAGATAGAAACCAATAAGATTGGAACAGAAAATGGTTGCGACGAAACGGCTTCAGTATCTCTTTGATGTTTGGAAATAAATTCGTTTAAATTCTCCATCAACCCTCTGATCCGCGGGCGTATTTAAACTCACGGAGAAAAAAAAATCTAGACGTGGGAGAGACGCGCTTCCTACGCGATGACAAGTCCTTATAAATTCCTTTATCGACGTTTATTCCTTTTTTCACCAAGTACTTACGTTGAATCAGTTTTTCTTTACGAAAGGAACTCCTTATAGGATTTTATTGATCTTTATAAGCACATAAGTACCATTAAATGCCTACCTATACAAGCGCTATAAAATAGTACATAACTTAAAAATCCATTCACCAATAGCTGTGGACGGGAGGATTTGATATTATTTTTCCAGCTATTCCCGTCGAACTGTAGATGCTATTTATATAGTGAAATTTAGTTTTTTTTTAACAATTAACGCAGTTAATTGCTGTGTACAATTCATTTCCATGTATAAGTGATTCACATACATTAGCAAGTACTCTTAAAACATACTTCTAAATTTTACTATCATACAATTTATTTGATACATGCGCGCAATTTTATCGATATAAAAATCCTTGAAAATTCATTTTCGTTATCGCGATATATCCGTTTAAAATTGAACAATTTCTCGCCCGACACAATCGATTTCTAAAATCGGAAACAAATATTTATACAATTCGGATCTATTGAAAATTAAGGTGCATTGAATATTGCATCTCGAGTGCAACATTATAGTATGAAAATATCCGAGGTTCGTTATATCACTCAGTGTTACGAATGCACATAATGTCTTTCATTGAAGCATTCTTGTAACCTCTTATTTATACAGCATAACTTGTGTAAGTAAGTAAGCGAGTACTCTAAGGCAATAAAATCAAAACACTATTAAAAGAGGCATATTTGTATAGATAGCACAGGTGTGTAATCGCCCAAAATGTTTTATAAAATGTAAATAAAAAATATATTTTACACAATTAGTAGCAAAAGTATAGTAACTAAAATATGAAATATCATTCAAATTCGAATAATAGGATATAAACGTGGAAAAATGCACTTATTAGTAATAATGTTAATCCTTGAAATACTATTATTTTAATTAACCACATTTTGTAGCGTGGACTTTACGCTTAACAGTTTTGCAAAATTCATACAACTAAATTAACGGAAAATTATTTGTTCTAAATCTGAATCATTTATAGTTGCTATTAATTCAAATGAACTTTTATAAAATGCCAGTTAGCCTAGTCAGAGCGCAAAAGAATTTTTTCCCCTAACTTGTAAAGATTTCAGCGAAATTTGAAATGCTAAAAAATTCATCGAACACCTGAGCATTCGTGTGATTAATGACATTTTTGAAAGATTCCAAGTTAACGGTAAGCGGAATTTGCTACTTCTTGTTTATAACAGCATAATTCAGAGTACTTGGAAATTTACCTAAAGATGAACAAAATGCAGAAATTAATCAAAACTATTTCAAACGTACTTATTAAAAGTTGAATGATCTTTTTGAGTGTATATTTATTTATATTTGGCAGAACACTACAGGACTTGAGCACAATTCTTCTGTAACATTATATCTTCCTTCCTCATTAGATAATGGATAAAGAGATTCATTTAACCCGAGCTATCGCATAATAGTCAAGTAGTTAGTAGGATATCTGTTTTATTTTGTTTTCTAGCTGTCCATCAAGTCAGATTGATAGAACGCGATATTATTTATTCGATTGGATATTAAGTAACAGTCGAATTTAATTATTGCCAAAAATAACGCACAATTAATTGCTACAGTAATTATCGACTGATCGTAATGTTGTAATTAGTCCACCACAATAATTATAGAACATAAGTTGCTTGTCACAAATAGTTTTTTATTTGCACTAATCTTCTATAAACAGGCTACGATTTTTGATAGTCATAATGTGATATGTATGTATGTATTCTAATTAATTTATGTGGTTCTATTAGTAGATTGTGGACGGAAATAACCAGCGAATTTATTTTAATCGTTTGAATGATAGGTTATTTAAAGAAGATTTGAACTTTTGTTGCATAAATCTACTTTTCTGCGATAGAGCCCGTTGTGATATCAAATTGTTTTCAAATAAGGTTGTAGATTAATATTACATAATGAAAGAAGTGTATGTAGTGCACAAGTGGGTATTTAAAATTTAAATGGCGAGATCTCGATTTATGTAAAGTTTGTTGGGTATAAATTTATAATAAAAATGTTTGTAATTGTGCAAAAATTGCAAGAATTTGAGTATTGTTTTGTAAAATAGAAGAATCGTTTTACCGACTTATGTAAAATAAAATGCTCTAGTATGGTATTAAATTGCATACGGATAATAAAATATCAAAAAAATTTATATGACTTCCTGTATATTATTAATCATTCTAAAAATGTTTAAAAAATTCTCTTTTCAAAATTAAAATTAACAACTTATGTGGAACACTTTGTACTCAAATATACAAAGGTATGTTAATTATAAATGTTAATAAGACACCATTTAAACGAAATGACATTGGTATTATTGCTAATGATTGGTAAAAAATAATTTGAATAATACAACGGACTACTGAAGTAAAACTTTTCGAACGAAAGCGCGCTAAAATTTCAAAAATCATCCTTACCAAAGAGAATTACAAATTTCGAAAAATACAAAAATAACATCAAAATCTACATACATCTAAAGTCATAGCTAAAATCCCATATGTTTTTAATCGCAAATTCAGCGACTTGCCTGATATATGGAAAGGAAAAATCTTACCCAGCCGATTGGAAAACCTTGAAACGATGACGAACGATCCGATCGACGTTAACGCATGCAAATCGCAAATCGTTTTTTTTACAATATCGAACCAGCTATCTGCTATTTAATTGTTATTTATCAGCGCTTTGGGCGCTCGCTAATTCCCTTTCGCACACGATTCCGCGGCCTTCCCAGCGTTCGAGCCAGACCACACAACCACGAAACGGCCGGCAACCGACTGGCAGGCGAACGCGAACCAAGCCAAGCCAAACCAAACGGAACCAAAACCGAAACCAAAGTCAAAAAGTGCGTGTGGTGGAGGCGAGGCGAATGCAACGGTAGCGGACGGAGATCCGATGCCCCGGATCGGGATAAATAGGTTTTTCCGCGATGAGGAAACCCAGAATTGATGAATAGAAAGAAGTTTTTCTGAGATGTATGGTTGTAGCACTTTAAATTTCTTACTTCGAGTGATGATATGATCCGAAATAAAACGAGTGTCTAGCAGATAGAAGTTGCTAGTTTTAAATTATAATTTTTTAGTTCATTTGCAAAATTATTACCGGTAGAAAAGAGTCATTTTATATAGTATAAAACAATTTTGCGAATTAAGAAGCTCGAAATTGGTTAATTTTGTCAGCAGCAGTTTTTGAAATATAAGTTACTAGTTTCAAGATATAATTTTTTATTTCATTTGCAAAATTATTACCGGTAGAAAAGAGTCATTTTATATAGTATAAAACAATTTTGCGAATTAAGAAGCTCAAAATTGGTTAATTTTGTCAGCAGCTGTTTTTGAAATATAAGTTACTAGTTTCAAGCTATAATTTTTTATTTCATTTGCAAAATTATTACCGGTAGAAAAGAGTCATTTTATATAGTATAAAACAATTTTGCGAATTAAGAAGCTCAAAATTGGTTAATTTTGTCAGCAGCAGTTTTTGAAATATAAGTTACTAGTTTCAAGCTATAATTTTTTATTTCATTTGCAAAATTATTACCGGTAGAAAAGAGTCATTTTATATAGTATAAAACAATTTTGCGAATTAAGAAGCTCAAAATTGGTTAATTTTGTCAGCAGCAGTTTTTGAAATATAAGTTACTAGTTTCAAGCTACAATTTTTTATTTCATTTGCAAAATTATTACCGGTAGAAAAGAGTCATTTTTTTTAGTATAAAACAATTTTGCGAATTAAGAAGATCTGGTTGAAATTTCCAAACAAATACAATCTTTGGCAACTTCCCTTGTATATTCCAAATAAGCTACGTAATATAGATTACTACAATTTAGACACAATTGGCTCATTTTGTCCATAAAAATTTTGGGACGCCCTGTATAGATATGTACATTTTTTTCTGATTCCAAACTCCAAAAGAGGATGTGTTCCCATATCCTCGGACACAAAGAAATTAATTAAATTTATACGAGTCAATATTTGAAGATGCATTTATCAACAGCTAATCAATTTCGGCTTCAATCTTCTCTGAAACAAAAATCAGTAAATTACTGTAGTGATACTGATATTTGATCTATTTCATGAAAGCGTTGAAATAAATATAGAAAGTATAATTTATCTTGTTTGAAAGTAGGTATATGTTTATCTAAAAACTGAAAATTAGAAGATAATAATAAAATCGTTTACAGAAAAAGAAAAGTTCTGAAAATATTCTATTTTATCTCTAAATGTTCCCCAAAACTTTCTCAAACTCATCAGACTTTTCACACTTCGAATTGCAACGAACTCGCGAATTTCAACATCGAAATTTCAATTATTAAATTTATCGTTCGACGCCTGCTCTATCGGTTTTTTTTATAAACGGGCACAAACCGCATAAATCTATTAAAATTTATCGCCCATAATTTTAAATTGAATTCGCATTTGAGCGTGTGTGCAAGTAAGTTTATGCATGCGCACAAACACGTGAGGATTTATGCCTTGCGAATTTTAGGACTTGTTGAATGCGCATTTGTGTGTCGATGCACTTCGTAAATTGTCGAAATAAAAAGGAATCGACGCAGGATCGGATTAGAGAATTATTGATTTGTCGATAACGAAAATCGGGTAGGTGGTTACAAAACGGATTAATATATTTGCTCGTGGAGGAGATAAGATATAAAATATAGACTAATATTGGAAGAGAATTTGGGTTAAAATAAATTAGTTTATGGTATGTACAATAACTAAATTACCAAATTATATTCCCTCTAGAAACAACTTTTCTTAAATATTTATTATGCCAAAATAAACTTATAATTTATATTCAGAGACAGTATTATAAAACTAAATTTATGCATTGTATTACTTGGTACGGATTATGAATGATTAATATAACGAGTGTTAATTCATTAGTGAAGTGACAAAAGTCGCATTTTATTCGAGCATCTTACCGACAACTGAAACTAATAGGTAATTCCCGGCACTGAAAAAATAATTATATCATCCAAACAGATGTACAGACCTAATGAAAAAGTGCTATTACAGTTTATTTACTCACGTAACCGATGTTTTTTCCACGTTTTGTTACACTATTATTCGATTGCGGAAGTAGCAAGTTAATTTAAACTTGCATGGTTACAGCACGAATGAAACTCGTTAAAAACGAAATTTATATTATAAAGTAGAATTACAAAGTAAATTTTGTTTGTTCTATGAAACACGAGAAATCGGTTTTCGTTGCCCAAAAACTCGAAAGATACAGTAGATGTCTCACTGATTTTACTTTCACGCTGAAGAAATTTCTAAAATAACTAGGTATGTCGCCTTTTGAGTGGCATCTTTACGTGATATTTTTCTTAAGCAACATACTCGTTAGAGTATCACGTTTTTGATGCCCGAAATCATATTGTCGCTTTCCGTAAAGAGGATTAAATTTTGTTCCCGCCGGGACCACCGGCAGGATAAACTGCCTGTTCACGGATATTCTTTTATACAATGTGCTTAGTTAAAATTTGTTGCAGATTTTAAATTTAAACTCGCTCAAATAAAGGTAAATTGGACGATTTTTTCGGTTCAGTGTTGGTTAGAAATTGGATATCTCTAAAGGATTAAATTTTATCATGAAAAGAGGTAAGTAGCAAATTCATAGCTTGTTTTTCAAACCAAGTAAATTTACAGTAAACAAAATTTTTGAAATATTTAGAATTACACACGTTATTGTTGCATTGTTCACTACCATATTCATTGACCTCTTTCATACGAACATTTCCAACTTTTGTATAAATTAATAGAGTAGATTTCGAATTTATAAATTCCTCCAGATTCTTTTACAACATATCTCAAAGCTCGTTAGTCGCCTTTCCATCACTTCTGCTAAATAAACATCTTTTAGTCCAGTTCTCAAGAGGATTACATGCAGCCCCATTAATCACTTTAAACCCATAACTACTTTAATTCCCTTACTTGCAATTGCAATTGAATAAATAATTTATATCCCCAATAAATAAAATACCACTAACACGCGAACACCTTTACATTAATCAGAAACTTGCGTATTGGAACTTCGATAGAGCCGTTATAAAATTATAGTCCGGTGGTAAAACGAATAAAAGTTTAATTATCTAATCAAATTTTGCACTCTTAGTTAAGAGTATAAAAGAATATTCAATGCATATATTACAGGAGATTGAAAGAATATTTATATCGAAGTACCCGCATTTTCAGTTGATTAAATTGACAATATTAAAATGCCCATTAAAATTCATGTATATCTTCATTCACGATCGCAACGGGAAACTTGTCAATCTACAAAGCTCCACAGACAGGTTTATTTTACCATTTAAGATTTAAGTCATTCCGCTCGAAGTACTGGCATATAGGTAGGCAGAGGAAAGAAAGGAGTCGTTAAAGCTGTCGTTAATTTCGTTTCTGTGCACTTTTTTGTGTTTCATTACCGGCAAGTTCGTGACAATTTGAAAGAAGCAGTACTCGACTACTCGCTCGTATGTTGTACCTGAAATAATTTAATGACATTATGAAATATTCTGCGTTTTAGAACGAATCTTTTAGGAGGAATCAAAGAAGTTATTGGTACTGATACTGGTGCATTGTTTTAATTACACAAGGAGGCTAACAAATAGTCTTTTTGCGAATAAAGAAGCCGACTAAACCTTGAATGATTTCGGTTAACCAATACTCGAGTGTAAAATAAGAAATTCGAAGAAACTCATTACATGAGAAGAACGAATTTCGGTGAAGTACCGGCGAGGGTGTTGGTGGTTTTGCGGTCTTCTTGCGATGGTTTATTATTTGCTGTAGCAAAAGTCGTAAAATTTGAATAAGCTGTTAACAACGTTTAGAAAAAATTCTACTTCACTTCTACACTATACACTATACATAGTAGAACTAAATTGTTGCAACAAAGTATTCGAGGAGTAGGTGGATATGATAAGTGCTTCATAGTAGTTCTGCTATATGTACTTATGTAGAGCACAAAGCGAATTTAGCCCGATCGTAAACTGTTTATTAAAAAAAATATCGCATGTATGGATTACGCTTATTATATCTGTATCTGCAATCACTCCGGGTATTATACTTCAATGGAGATTACGTGGGATGGTATGATGTGAATCTCATTTCCATAAGGATAGTTTGGATCATTTTCGTATTCCGCAGGGTCGAACTCGATTTGATTTAACTATAACTGGGTTTTATGGCGCTTTAATAGCGCTTGTCTGTTAAACGGTTTACATTTTATTGGAACAATTATATTTTTATGTACCGGTAGGTATGTAAAAGTTGTTTTTATTACCGCGTATTATTGTTTTTAAACACGTACGCTGCTCGGCTAGTACTTCTCTATAGAATCGGTCATTTTTGCTTGAATAAATTCCACCTTCGTTTTCTCTAAAACTTTGATTACCAGCATTAGATGTGCTGGGACCTATGTTTTCGTTTGAGTTCGATTTTATTCAAATAACCACTTGTATAATTGTGTAATATTTAAGTGCACTGAGGGTACCTGCAAAGGTAAGTTTAAAGGAATAATTTACACAAAAGTACCGTTTAAAATGGTAATAGTTTCTAAAAAATAGCTAGAAAAAAATCATTGTACGCCAATGATAAACCGTTCGATTGTTCAGAAGAATTTTGGCACCGAACACACCTATTCCTTCAATAGTAATTGATCATCGGATACCTTACAATTGAATTGACTACATGACATTATGCGGTTGGAAATTTAAAATAAAAACATTCTTAGTATCCGAACAAAGATACATATGTAAGTTCATCATCCAGTTATTTCGAGCTTCTTATTAGAGTGAAAGCGCCTTG